TAGAGCACTACGGACTCTGGTGGAAGATTAGGGGGCTCCCAGGGTGAGTGCTACGGGGTCTCCATCTGAGGGGGGGAAATCCTGTACTGCCCAAACCCTAACAAGGCCTTAAAAAATGGTGTCCAATAAAAACTGAAACAGAACACGGCATAGTGACTTTTAAAAAAGGCAGTCTGTGGGTCACATGGTAGACTAAGAAAGCACACTCAGGTGTGACCCGTGCCCCTAAATCACATACAGTCTGGCAAGCCAATGTTACGGCTAATAAAGAAATCAATAAATGCTTTTTTTTCTTTTTTAAGAAGTAAAGCCTAGGAGAAAAATGGGCTCCACTGGGTCTCCACCAGGCTCGCTGGTCACTCGCTCAAGTTGGAGCTTTGCTCATCTATTCCCTCTCCAGAGAAACGCCACACATGAGGGACGAAAGACCCCACCTCAGCCCCGGATCTGCCCGTGCGGGTGGCATCTGAGAAGCCAGCGGGCCCAGGGTTTGGTGCCAGCCGGCACCGGGGCCCAGAACCGTGGCCCAGGATGACCCGCGCTGGTGAAGAGCCAGGCTGGGCGTGCAGGCCTGTGCCTCTGCACAGCCACCGAAACAGAACCCATTAGTATCCCCACTTTGCCGAGGAGGGGTGACTGAGGTGTGCAGATGCCATGTGACCTGCTCCTGGAACTGCTGCAGAGCCGATTAGAAGATTAGAACCCTCCACCACATGGCTCCTGGCTCCAGGCCCGGGTAGAACTCACCTGCTGTGTTAACCGCCCTTTCAAGCAGCAGCCTCATTTATGATTTACACCCCTGTTGCAGGCCAATTACCCTGCCCAGACCCCCTGCCACCAGTGTCACCCCATTCCCACCCCAAGCCACTCGGGAGGTGAGGCTTCGCACCCCAGCACTGACAAAATCCCCAGGACCCTTCTCTCACTCCTGCGCCCCCTCCTCCCTCCCTTGGCTTGGCTGACCTTGAATGACTGGGCCCTCCCCGCTCCAGTGTAGAAAGGGGTGGAGCTAAAACCATTGTTTGCCCTGTGTTCTTATCTCCTTGGGGGCATTGACTCTTAGGTCACTCCTTGCAAAACTTTATAAGGGCGTCCTCCAATTTTCCAGTTTTAAGGAGGAGAAACTGAAGCCCAGACAAGGGAGACACTTACCAGGCCCTCCCAAGAGAGCAGGCGCGGGCGAGGGTTCAGCCCAGGGGCTTCCAGAGCCCTGGGACATCGCCCTGCCCTGGACCCTCCACAATGAACCCAGCTGTGAGACAGGCCACTGGGCTGCATCCCTGGAGGGGCTTCCAGATGAGGCCCGCCCACCAGGGCGCTCAGAGGCCTGGGACCTTGTCCAAGGGGGGCTGGGGATGGCCTGGGAAGGCCTCTGTGGGGGAGGTAGGAGTTGGGGTCAGTCCTGAGTGTGGAGAGACCTCTGGAGCCATGCAGGGAAGGGACAGGCCACAGGGTGGGCCGCTGGGGAGTCCAGGCCCAGAGCTGAGGCCTGAGCTGCAGCCAGGCCCTGGGGAGAGAGAAGGGGATAGGCAGAGGGAAGGGGGCCAGAGGGACTAGGGCTGGAGGGGACGAGGGGTGCAAGACCCGGTGGGGCTGTCCCTGAGATGGGAAACTAGGGAGAGGGGCAGCGATTAAAGACAGCGTTATCAAGCTATCGCCAGCCACCGCAGCATGAGTTCGATCCCTGGCGGCCAGGGAGAAACCACATGGCACAGCAGACCTCTCCTGTCTACCTGCTGCTCCCCTCAACAGTGTGTTTCAGTGGATCTGCCGGATCTGCCTCTTCTGCTCCCCACTCTGTCTCTGGTGAATCTTCTCACACACCCCCACCCCACATCTCTGGCCTGTACCCTAGTTCTTGTATGCATAAATAAATAAATCTTTAAAACAAACAAACAAACAAACTAGGGAGAGGATCTGTGGAAGAGAGGAAAGAGCTAGGACCCCGTGAGAGGAGCCTGGAGACACACTTGGGGGCTGCCCCTGTCCCCCCACCAACAAGTGGCTGAGGTGGCTGGAGTTCAGGGTCAGGAGGATGTCAAGAGGATTGTGGATTGAGCCATCTGAGTGAGTGAAAGACCTGGGGTCCCAGGAGGAGGAGCAGCGCAGGGCTCCAGCTGAGGTGGGGGAGATGCCCAAGGGGACCCCATCTGTGTCCCGAGGAGCCTCACATGCTCCCTGCAGGGTTTGTGGCTGGAGCACAAGCAGTGTGACCCACCCCCCAGGTGCTCCCCAGGTGCTCTCCTCTGGCGCCCATGTGCCCTCTGCCCTGTCACCCTCTCTGGGCCTTGTCCTAGGGAGGAGCCATAATCACCACCTCACACGGCTGCGTCTGTCTACCCCGCGGTCCCGGCAGGCGGTGCCACCTGGCCCAGGTGTGTGCAGGGCCAGGCTGGTGTAATTACCCTCCGCAACACTGGCACAGTGAAGAAACGGCCCAGTGACGCATTTCTGCACATGCACCCCTGTCATTAAGTGACACATGGCCGTAAATGGAACACACGCAGAGAGCACGCCACATGGCCAGTGTGGTCTGCAGCCAGCACCCCATAAACAGGGGCTGCGCCCGAAGCTGCGGGTCCACCCCAGGCACGGACGTCAAGCGTCCATTGTGGCAGGACAAAGGGAAAAAGGTTTTCTAGAATAGCTTCCAGACAGGGAATCCAGAATGTCTGAAAGTCTGTGGGTTGACAGGCACCTGAAGATCCAGGATTCTAGAATGTCTGCAGGTCCATGGGTTCCACGCTGTTTGAAAATCTTAGCTCTTCTGATGTCTGAGGACCTAGACTTCCAGAATGTGTTTGTTCTTGGGATTCTAGGATCCCAAAGTCAGGAGCCTAGAGACTTCGAGAGTCTATGATTTTGGAATGACTGAGACCCCAGGTCTAGAATGACTGAGGGTGTGTGGTTCTGAAAAGTCTGAACGGCTTCTGGGGACCTGGACGCCATTGTTCCTCCCTGGTATCTGTGGGGAGTCAGGAGTCAGGGAACACAGAGTGTGGTCACTGTTTTCCTAAGCAGCCAGCCCTGATCCGGCAGCCGCTTTCCATAAAGGGGATGGCTTTCAGACCAGGAAAGGGACCATGCTTACAGCAGATCCCAACCTCCACCGGGTCACATAGGATCATTCCCTCCTGCCGTGTCTCCTCGTTAATTAAACAAGTCAGGACAGACTCTAGACAATTGCCCTCTATGGTTCTCATAGAATTCCAAAGCCTTGGGTCATCTCAGAGATGAGCTCCAGCTTCCAGAAAACAGAACCCAGATTTCAAGCCTCAGAATGCAGAGCCAAGACTACAAGAACCAGGTGAAGATTCCGGCCTCCCAATTGCTGGATTCATACCTACAGGGGAGATTCTAGAAATCTGAGAACTGTGAAAGCCAGGCTCATGTCTTCAGTGCAGTCTCATAAATGCACAATGCAGAGTCTAGACACATGTTCTAGAATCCAGGCTTCAAAACACAAATTCCCAAACCTACCATTTGTACTCCAGAACCCAGGCTTCACATAATGGGCATAAAGGTTTCAACCTCACATCATAGATTCCAAACATCCGGCTCCGGGTTCCTGGTCTGGACTTCAGGTGCAAAGGTGCGTAAGTCTAGATCTAGAGCTACAACCCAAGTCTGAGACCTGTCTGTCACACAAAGGCCAGGATCCGGTTTCGAATCCAAACTCCAGAATTCAAGACTCCAAAATCTACACCATGATCTTCAGGTCATAGACACTCAACTCTAAGCCTCCAGACTCAGAATCCAGAGCTGGCGATCCAGAACTGAGCAACCGGAACCTAAGACCCAGGCCCAGGGTTCTGGAATCAGAATGAGGATCAGATCCAAGATGTAGACCCAGAGATCCAGAGTCAGAGATCTAAAATCGTGGACCCAGAATCAGGTATCCAGGTCCAGAATTCATTCTCCAGAACTGAAAGCCATGGCTCTAGAATCCAGTTTCGGCTCTGATTTCCTACTCTTGCTCTCCCCTCTTCTCGCCCCCACCCGACCCCCGGAACTGCCCCAGGTAGGGAATTCCTCCTTGTAGACTCAGACGAAAGCTTCACCCTAGTAAATGCCCATTACACATTGTCCTCCACCCCACCGGCCACTGAGGCATCCAGCCTGTAAATCCAGGTCTCAGCCACTTCTCACCCCACCCTGATCCATACCCCAGACCTGGGCGGGGCTAGGAGCTTATAAATTCGGGCATCCGGGCACCTGCTGCCCTTCGCCTGGCATCCAAGCTGTCCCAGATGCTGCTGGAGGATCTGGAGGGGGTGAGATGCTTGAGACAGGAGTGAGGGTGGGTGGAGGAGAGCAGACAAGGTCTGCCTTGGCCGAAGGGAGCCCTGGGATTCCCAGGCTTCAGGGTCAGATGTGAGGCAACCGAGTGCCGAGAACACCCACATGGGTTCACATGTCCCTAATTGAGGTCCAGATTTGATCCTGAACCAGGAAAATGCAGATACAAGAAGGAGCTGGTCAGGGTGAGTGGGGAAGGGCGGGAGGGAGCCAGGAGGAAGTCCCCGACAGCGCCTGTGCCAGAGCCAAGAGCAGCACCCGGAGCTATCAAGGTTCACATCAGCTCGGGCTGCCTCTCCCGCCTGCCTGTGCAGTGACGCATGCTGGGCAGTGCTGGGGGCACAGGGAGCACCCCGCCTGAGCGCTCCTGGGGGTCTGTGCTCTGATGGAGCAGAACGGGCCCTGGGGGCCCCCCAGGAGAGGTGGGGACTGAGCTTCAGAGGGCAGATATAAACTTGGACAATCAGGAAAAGGACTTGGATTCATCCCCAGGGCTTGCTGGGGCCCCCCAAGGACCTGGCCCCACCGGAGCGAGCTGAAGACAGGAGTAGCCAGGCCAGGGCCACCCTCAGGAGCTCTGGCTGGGGGTGGGGAGCGTGGGGGGAAAAAGGGAACAGAACGATGGATGGGGAATGTCAGAAAAGTTCTCGAAAGGACCTTGAAGGGAACGGCATCCCTGGGGAAAAGAACAGTATGAGCCGAGGCACAGGGCAGGAAATGGCGGGAGGGAAGCGGAAGACGTGGCTGTGGTCTAGAGGCTGTGGTCCAGATTGGCCGAAAGGGGAGCCGTTCATTTCCTTGCAAGTGAGGCTGGGACTGGGCCTTGGCCTGGGGGCTCGGGTCCTGAGGGCTGTGATGGTAGGGAACATGGTCAAATCAGGGTAGAGACAGCCCCTGTGGGGCAGATCAGGGTGGGGAGGACCCAAGAAGTCAGGCAGGCGGCTGAGATGGGGCCCTGGGGGCGCCAGGATGAATGGAGATCCACGGCCTCTGGCTGCGTTCAGACAGGTCTCAGAGGCCCCGGGCCCACCCTTCAGTCATGGGGCCAGGGAGGAAGAGTGGGTGGGGCAGGACTCGAGGGTCACAGGCAACAGGTGGGATGCTGTATGGGGGGGGGCAGCAGGGCAGGAGGGTCCAGCTTCATGGTGTCTCTCCTCCCCAGAGGTCATCAGAGTCCTGGTCCCTCCACAATGTGGCTTCTCCTCATCTTCTCCCTCTTGCTGACGGCTGCAGGTGAGCGGGGCCGGGGCAGGGCCAGAAAGGAGCAGGGGGACCCCCCCACCCGTAGCACCCCGGCCTGCATTCGTCCAGACCCTCCCTCACCCGCAGGCCACCTGCTGGCCACTGCCCCCACCTCAGCCACCTGATGACAACTTTGGGTGCCGCCACCTCCCCCAGAACTTTCAGGGATCTGCTCTGGTGCCCCCCCGGCCACCTGGGGTCTCAGCCGGACCCCACGACTAACACTGCCCTGGCTTGACACAGAGCTGAGTCTGGAATTCAGGGGTCGCCCCCTGCCTGCTGTGTGACCTTGAGGAAATGACCCAGCCTCTCTGGGCCTCCTCTCCAGACAGCGCCCACCTGATGGTAGGGCCAGGCCTCAGGGGTTCACATCGAGAGCAGGGTGGCTGAGAAGCCTCGCCAGCTGCCAGTCAGCACCTCGTGGCCGGGGCTCCCCGCCTGTGTCTTGGGGACCATGGATTTTCGCCCACAGGGTTGTGAGGGGCAAGCGTGGTCCGGGAGTGGGCCTGGCAGTGCCCGGTGCAGGGCGGAGCCTGGTAAGGATGTGTGAGCCCGACTGAGCACTTAGTATGTGCCAGCGCAGGGCTCGGCACACGGGGAAGCTCGTCCAGTCCTCCAGCCGGCGATCTGCCATGGGCTCTCCTGGCCCCCCTGACCCGAGTGCCGGAGTGGGGCGCCCGCGAGGTCAAGGTGACTCCCATTCAGCCTCCGCCCATGGAGAAATGAATATTGTGACCTGCTGCCCGGCCTGGAGGGTTGAGAGTAGATGTTCATTAACTGCCACGCGGCCCTCCCCTGGAAGTCCCATGGGCGCCCTCCAGCCCCGCTGCCAGCCTCCCCTGGGGCTCTCCCAGTGTCCTCTCTGTCTCTCTCCCTGCTGCACCCAGCCCGGGCACCTGGCCTTTCAAGCTTGGGCTGGTCGGGGGCAGCCTGGGTACCCGCTGTTCAGCTGACACACTGTCCTTCTCTGCTGGGTGACTCCAGGTTTCCTTGTCGAAGCCCTGGTCCACCACATCCGCGTTCCCCCAGCCCTCCCTGTTTCCACACCAGGGCCGGTGGCCCAGTCCCAAGGCTGCCAGGCAGGGTGTGGGCATTTGGTCTGCGGAGCAGATCCTGCCCCGAGCGGCCTGCCAGGACCCGGTGGGGACAAGTCCTGTGGCTAATGCCGTGTGACCTTGAAACGTCCCCGTTTGTCCTTGTGCGTGGTGCAGTTGGTGTGTGCTTCTCTTTGTGTGTGGGGGGGGTACGCTTGCAAGATCCAGTGTCCCCATGTCCTGTCCACAAGGGTGAGGAGCCCCCCCAACCCCCGACTGACCTTGAACACCAAGGAGCTGACTTGAGCGCTGGCCTAGAGGTGGGTTGATGCATCCCGCCCAACTGCCTGCATCTCCTGCTGCGTCTTTGACCTTGAACATCCACCCACCCCACCCCCACCCCCAGTCCAGCGCTGCCCCGGGTGTGACCTAGCGAGTGCCTGCCCTCCAGGTGTGTGTCCATAACTTAGACTATCCACAGAGCAGCTTGGGGTTAAGTCGTCACTTGACCTTGACTTTGACTATTTTAATTGGGGTCTGCAAATTGGTCTGAATTAGCTGGGCTATGTTTACCTTCACAGCCTGAACACCCACACGTATCACATATGTCTACGTGAATAAATTATGTGCCCTGTGTTTAAAATAACGAATATTTATCAAGAAGTTAGAGTGTGCCAGCTATCACACATGCACACATACACACACATGTACACACATGTACACACACATTCCATTTAATTCTCACAAATGTCCCATTTTACAGAGGAGCAAACAGAGGCCCAGGGAAGTCAAAGCCCACAGGTTATATGTCTGGACTCAGGGGACCAGACACGATATGTCCGCCTCTCTGGTGTAGCTGCTGTACTATACACGGCATGCAAATGGCTCCCCAGGGGAGGGCCCCACCCTGTGTATGTCCAGACCCACACTGGAGTCTGGACAGTTAGTTCTGGGCTCTGTGTCCAAATCTGTGTCTGCATGTGTGTGGCTCACACCCAAGGACACTTGTGATGGCCCATGTGGGCATTTGGGGCTGCCAAGTGGCTGCCCAGCGAATGAATTTCAACCCAAAGAGCTGTCCATACCGGAACCTATATCCGGGGCAGTGTCTGTGCCTGTGACCTTGTGTGGCCACATCTGTGTCCTTGGAGGACACTTTTGGCTGAGGCATCCGGACACTGGAGCCAAGCCGGTGTCAGAGGCTCTTGATGCCTCTGACAGGCCCGTGACCTTGAGTAGCTGCTTCCAAGGGACCATCTGTCCCAACCCCCTCCCCCTCTCTCAGGACTTCCTGTCTTCCCGCCTTTTCCCTCCCAGGCCCAGGAGCCAAAGTCCCCTGGGGCCTGGGGCGAGAGGCTGGCTCTTACAGCATCCCCTGTCCAAGTCAGGGCGAGGGCGATCATTAAAAATCAACAGCAGGAAGTCTACATTAAAAAAAACTTTTGATTAAAAAAGCCAAAATAATAATAAAATGTATCGTGTAACTGACCACTGTTACTTCTATAAAAAAAAAATCTTCATTTAAAAAAACATTTGAATCCAACAGTGACATCTTCACACGCGGGGAGGGCAGGGTCGGGGCTCTGTCCTCAGGGTGGGTCTCCCTCTCTCAGCCGCCGAGAGCGATGGCGACAAGGTGATGCGGGGCGAGGAATGTGAACCCCACTCCCAGCCGTGGCAGGTGGCTCTCTTCGAGCGCGGACGCTTTAACTGCGGGGCGTCCCTCATCTCCCCGCTCTGGGTGCTGTCGGCTGCGCACTGCCAGACGCGGTAGGGAGGCGGCCCAGGGGGGCTGGGGGCAGTGGGGGGGAGCGGAGGGGGGGGCCCGGAGGGGTCTGAGATGCGCAGGAAGCAGGAGCTGCGCGGGGGCTTGGGGGGCTGGGGTGTGGGGTCTGGGGTGAAGACTGCGTGGTCTCGGAGGCAGGGGTGGGGGGAGCTTTAGAGGCTTGGGGAGAGGGTGACGGGATACCCCGATTCTGCAAGGGCCGGGACACCCCGGCGGCCTCTCTCTGATCTTTGTCTCCACCCGCGCGCCACCGCACGCAGCTTCATGAGCGTGCGCCTGGGCGAGCACAACCTGCGCAAGTACGAGGGCCCCGAGCAGCTGCTGACCGTCTCCCGCGTTATCCCGCACCCCAACTACAAAGCCCGCACCCACAACAACGACTTGATGCTGCTGAAGCTGAGCCGCGCGGCGCGCCTCACCCCGCAAGTGCACCCCGTCCCGCTGCCCACGAAGTGCCCCCGGCCCGGGGAGACCTGCGTGGTGTCCGGCTGGGGACTGGTGTCCAGCAGCAGGCCCGGGGCCCCGGGAAGCCCAGGGTCACAAGGTGCGTGAAGGACCCCAGCTGCCTGCCAGGCCCCTGGAGCCCTGCTCCCCGGGTACCGGGCATGGGGCGGAAGGGCCGGGAAGGGCGCCCTGCTCCAAGGCCCTGTGCTCTGCAGTGAGCCTCCCCGACACGCTGCACTGCGCCAACATCAGCGTTATCTCGGACGCGTCGTGCAGCAAGGACTACCCGGGGCACCTGCTGGACACCATGGTGTGCGCAGGCGTGAAGGGAGGAGGCACCGACTCTTGCGAGGTCAGAGCAGCCACCTGCGCTCTCAGGGACCCGGCGGGGAGGTGGGAGCGAGTGGGGCTGCATTTTGCTTGCTTGGGGCGGGAGAAGGTGCTAGGGACGGGTTTGAGGAAGGTCAAGGACGAGCAGCTGCGGTGAGGTAAGGCTGGAACTAGGGCCAGAGAGGGGGAGAGAGGCTGGGGATTTAGGGGAAGACAGGCAGATGAGGAGGGGGTGACAGAGATTGGATTTGAGACTAGGAACGGGTCAGGGCCGGCTGGGTATTGGCTAGGAAATATGGCGGGCTTGAATTGGGGGTGGCAGTGGATGTTGCCCAGAAGACAGGACAACGTGGATTCGTGTGGTGTTGGGAGTGGGGATGGCATGGGGTGGGGGGAGCATGGTGGTGGGGTTGGCTGGGGGTTGCTGAGGGGCTGGGTCACACACGGTGGGCTGTGGGTTACCTGGGGTTGTGTTGACTTGGTTGGTTTTGATTGAGGCTGTGATCAGTGAGGAGGAGGGTGGAGGCCCAGGATCCAGAAGGTTCTGGCTCATGCTCCTTCTCCCCACAGGGGGACTCCGGGGGACCCCTGGTCTGTGGGGGCATCCTGCAGGGCATCGTGTCCTGGGGGGATGTCCCCTGCGACACGACCACCAAGCCTGGTGTCTACACTAAAGTCTGCCACTACTTGGAGTGGATCAAGGAAATCATGAGGAAGAACTGACTGTCCCTCCCACAACCTGTCCTGGCTGAGCAGAACCCCCACCGCGGCCAGCACCCCTGTCATCGTCCAGACAGAACTGCACCATCCCAAAGCCCAGATGTTGGCCAAGGACTTGTTTTGTCTGAGGCCAGACCTGGTGCTCAAGGTCACCTGTTTACCCCAAGATAACAGAGAGCACTGATGCAAATTTCTCTCTAGGAGTTTCTGTGGATTTTTTCTGGGCATGACATGGAAGTCAGAGGCTGGACACCATTCCTTGACCACTGTCCTGGTCCCTAGGTGAGCAGAAATGGCTTGAGCAAGGCCCTGTTCATCCAACACATAAAGCCATCCGTGTGCTCTTAAGCCTGAGGCCCGATCTCACTCAGCCTTGGTGTCCCATCTGTGAACCAGTTCATCCTATTGCCTTGTCACAGTGCTGTTGAGAGGGTGACATGATGTAATTCCGATGACCTGACTGGAATAGCGCCTGGCACTGGGAAAATGCTCTCCCCCTCTGTACCTCCAGTGAAAAGACCCAGCACACTAGATGACCAGAACAACTTAATGTTCTTCAAGATTTAGTTCTGGGCTTCCTGGCAGCCAGGGCAAAAAGGCAAATACGCCCCTTTCTCTAGGCAGGCTCCCGACATACATCAGAGGCCAGGGACACTGTGAGTTCCTTTGATTTCACAGAAGAGCCAAGAAAATATGTTGGGAGCCATAGGGGTTGTCACTGAGGGTACAGTAGTCTCACCAGAGACCCAAAAAGGTCATTTTCAAGGTGACCGAATGCTTGAAACATGAATCTGATTCCCGAAGTCCAAATATTTGAGTAGGGGAAGGGTGGAGAGGATGCTCTGGACGCTGGAGGAGCAGAGCGCAGGCTGTGGTCCTGGGGAGGAGGACCTGGGGTTGAGCACCCAGATCAGTGGGAAAAGAGTGAAGAGAAAATTTAGAGAAGCCACATTGTTTGGGGGTGGGGTGGGGGGGGCATTGGATTTGGAAATGCTGGGGAATGTACTCAGGGATACGCCTGAACTTCAAATTCCTAGATATGGGAGGGCTAAAACGGGGTGACTGATACACCATTATGGGGACTTAGATCCCCAGAGTAGGAGTGCAGACCCGGGGTCTGAGGCCAAGGCCCGGTCAGGGCAGTGGGAGCTCAGAGGGTACGCAGGCTCCAGAGTGCAGGGAGGGGGAGCCGAGCCCGCCCTGCTGGCCTTTGAGGCTCCCCTGTGACAGGGGGCACAGCCCCTTGGAGTGCTGGCATCAGGGCCAGTTGTCCTGGTCAGTGAACCCACCACCTCCGGTTTCTCTGCACCCACCTCCACCTTCCCTCCTGCCTCTGTGCCAAGGGCAAGGCCCCAGCAGCCGCAGGCCTGGCCCCACTGGCTCAGGCCCCAGGAAGTTTCCAGCTTCATCAGGCCCCAGGACACAGGTGCTCACTCTCCCGCCCTCCACAGGACACAGGGGTGAGAGGGGGAGCCCTCCCCCCGCCAGCCAGCCGCAGGGGCAGGGCCTGGGCACACTTGGGCACCAGCTGGGCAGGGGCGGGCCTAGGGGGCTGAGGGATTTAAAGGCTCCTCAGGGAGGCTCCAGGCTCGAGCTGCTGCCTGCCCTGGACACCCGAGTCACCATGCGGGTCCTGGTCCTGTGCCTGGTGCTGGCCCTGGAGGGGTCTGGTGAGATGGAGGGGGGTGGGGGGAGCGGACCCCAATTCCCTGCTGCTCTCACCTTCCCTGAAGTCATTCCTCTCCCACCCACCCCCTTCCCCCATCCCAACGCACTCCAGTCCTGACCTGGCCACCCCTTCTCTCATCCCACCCTAAGTCTCCCCCAACCCTGCCTAGGCCGCACTCCCCACCCAGTTCATCCCCACATAATGCCAACGCCTCCCACCCCAACCTCAGCCAGCAGGGCGTGGACCATCTCTCTCTCTCTTAGGGGACGTCCACCACTTCCAAGTTCTCTCTCACTTGCCCCGGACCCTGGGACCCTGATCCCTCCACCCTCAGGTTCTCAGAGCCCCAAATCCTACCACACCCCAGTGTGGGACTCTTCCTGTCCAGCTGTCGGCTCTCTTGGGGCTCCAGTCCATGCTACCAGCTCCCCCAACCCCCTCAGGGCCCCCGGCCCCACCAGACACCTGCGCTTCTTCCCTGCAGACGGTCTGCCCCACCACCCCTCCCCTGATATTCGGTTCTGTAGACGCCCCTTCCTTTCGGACTCCCCGTTCTGTGCAGCAACCGCAGGCTTCTCCTCAACAGAGAGCACCAGGACCCCAAGCACACATTCTCTTGCCTGGTAGAACCCCCATCGTCCCTCAAGCTCCGGCTTCTCCACTGAATTTGTCCTGAACAGCTCTGGTGTCTGGGCCCCATTACCCCCAGGCCCCCCAAATCCCCTGGCTCACCTCCTGCCCACCTCCCCTGGCCCCCATGGGAGATTCCCAACCCCACGCCAGCTGGTTGCTCCCCACATTCCCTCACTTCTTGGCCATGGATGCGCCTCCTCCATTCCTGTCCTGACTGCTCTGGAGAGAACCCCAAGTCAGCCTGGTTCCCCAGACGTGGACTCTCCCCGGAGATCACCCGATCACAGTGACTGCGGCCCGGCCGTCCTCTGCCTGAGCCCACGCTGCTGGGACCGCAGCCCTGCTCCCAGGGCACCCCCTCTTAGATATGATTCTGGGTCCAGACCCTCACAAGACCCCTCTCCCGTACACCCCTTTCTTTGATCAGGAGCCCCAAATTCTCCCAAGTCTCCCAGCCAAATGCCACCTTCCGGCCCATTCCAGGGTCCCTCACATTACCCCTAAATTCCCAGCCCAGATGCTCTTCCTATCCTCTAGATGTGAGTCCCCATATCTGCTTCCCCCAAGTTTGATCATTTCCCCATACTGAGAGATCTCCTTAACCCCCAAACCTCCCTGGTCTCAGAGGCCCTTGCTGGGGGCACCTTTCCTGCTAGAGAGTCTACTTTCTCTCGAGAAGCCACAGGATCTTCTCCCCTAGCTCAAGCCACAGTTGTTGATCCCCACGCCCCACGCTGCACCAGAGCTGCCTTGTGCTCCCCTGTCCTGACCCAGGGGGTCTTGCTTTCAGCATTCGTCTCCCCACCTGTCACCATCACCCCACAATCCCAGAGGCCACTGCAGAATTCTGGACTCTTCCCAAACCCCTGGCCTGTCTCCCCAGGCCCACGTTCTTCCAATCTTACAGCTCCCTCTCCTGGCCCTACTGTCCCACTGACCCAGCACCCCATCCACAGGTGCGGCGCCCCCTGTCCAGTCTCGGGTCGTAGGGGGCAAGGAGTGTGACAGTCATTCCCAACCCTGGCAGGCGGCTGTCTACCATTATAGCACCTTCGAGTGTGGGGGTGTCCTGGTGCACCCCCAGTGGGTGCTCACGGCTGCCCACTGCATGAATGAGTAAGTATTGAGGGCAGGGGCGCTGGAAGAGAGTCTGTGCTCCCCCCCCCCCCGGGGGCTGAGAGCCAGGCCCTTCCTGGGTCACCTCCGGGAGGCTGGGCTGAGGGAGCACAGGCTGGTGCAGGTCACGGTGCAAGGGGGCAGGGCTGGGACTGGGGACCCCGAAGACACCTGCGTGGCTGCCTGGTCCTGTCCCTGTGGGGAATGTCTTTCTGTAGGCCTGTCCCTCCGCCGCCCTGATCTCTGGTCTCTGGGGGGCTGTGTCTGTGCAGGCGGATGTGTTCCCACCTCCCTCTGTCATGTCTCTGGTGTCTGTCACCCCATCTCTGTCCCTCGCTGCCATCACTGTCACTCTGGTCACCTCCACATCCCCCCGTCTCTTGGGCTCACCCCTCTCCCATCACCACTCGGCACCACCCAGGGGGAGTGGGATTGGACCCAGGAAGCAAGAAGACCCCCACCAAGTGTGTGAGGGCGCCTCCCATCCCAGCCCCTCCCCCTGGACCAGCACCTCTCCAGGGGGCCCTCTGGGGCTGTGGGCGCCTAGAGGAAGGGGGAGGGGAGGAGGTGTGGGGGGAAGGGCAGTGGCGTGGGGCGGGGGGGCCAGCCTCTACTGGGGACCCAGCCTCCTGCCCTCTCTGCTCACCCCTCCTCCCCTTATCTGCACAGCCATTTCCAGGTCTGGCTGGGGCGCCACAACCTTCTGGAGGATGAAAGCACGGTCCAGTTTTTTACTGTCACTAAGAGCTTCCCACACCCTAAATTCAACATGAGCCTTCTACAAAACACGTTTATCTCCCCGGAAGACGACCTCAGCCATGACCTCCTGATGCTCCGTCTGTCACAGCCCGCCCAGCTCACAGACGCAGTGAAAGTCCTGGACCTGCCCACCAAGGAGCCCCGCGTGGGCAGCGCCTGCAAGGCCTCCGGCTGGGGCACCATCAAGCCTGACAGCTGTACGCATGCGCGGTGGCGCCCCCAGGAGCCCAGACACTTGGGAGAAGGCTGGGACTTCGGGGTGGGAGAAAAGAGGAACTGGGACCCCACGTACTCAGGGAGTAGAGGCGGGGTGGGTTCTGGGGGTCCAGGTGGGTTCCACCCACTCATGGTCCTCCTGGCCCGCAGATTTCTACCCAGACACTCTGCAGTGTGTGGACCTGAAGCTCCTGTCCATAGACATCTGCAAAAATGCCCACAAACAGAAGGTGACAGACACCATGCTGTGTGTGGGGGACATGGCCGGCGTCAAGGACACCTGTAGGGTGAGTCGTCCTCTCCTTGTCCTGGCTTGGGAGCGAGGCAGCTGGGGTCCCCTGTCTGGCTTGTAGCTCCCCGACTCAGCTCTGCCCGTGGGTCCCCATCTTTGATACCCCATCAGGGGTGACCTGATCTCCCTCCTCCATGTCCATTCCACCCTCCTCCCTCTCACACACATGACTGGAGGGGGTCAGAGAAATTTCTTGAAGAGGCAACCGTGACATGAGCCCTGAGGGTGGGAGTCCTGCAGAGGGCCCTGCTCCTCCTCTCGCTCCCCCCTCTGTCCTCCTGGACCCTGCCCCCCACAGAGTCTGCACCCTGATTCCCACCCCCCTTAGCAGGGACCTGAGTCCTGATCCCGTGATGGATCCCCCCACCTTCTCCCGCGAGTGAGCTCTGGGGACGGTTTCTATCCCCATAGCAGGGAGTCGCCAGGCCATCTGTGAGCCCAGGTGTGAGAGCAGGCCGTGCCCTCACTTGCTGAGGTCTCACTCTCCTGTATATGTCTTAGGGTGACTCCGGGGGCCCTCTGATCTGTGACGGTGAGCTTCAAGGAGTCACATCCTGGGGCCACTTTCCGTGCGGGAAACCCAAAGTACCCAGCATCTATACCAAAGTGATCGACTACATACCGTGGATCAAGAAGATCATGGCAGACAATCCCTGAGGCCTCCCACCCCCGGCCTGTCCCTGTACCCCGCCTCCCCAAGAAATCGAGTACGCTTCAAATCGCATCATGTTCTCGTGTCATGTAATTCACAACATGTTTGAGGCGCTGAACTTCTGACCCACCCTCCCAACCCCAGCCCCCAGCTCTCCAGGGGGCCTGGCCTGGCCTGCGTGTGCAACCTGGGCTCGGGGGAAGGGAAGGCCTGGGCTAAGTGTAGCCTGACTGACAGTGTTCTGACCCCAAAGGGCAAGTGGGGGTACCCGTGACTTTTATATGGCACAAAGGAAACTGGACAGCAGGGCCAAGAGGAAGCAGGTTTAGGCTCAGGTGCTGACTTGGCAGATTCACATCCCAAAGCTGAGCCCCCTTTCTAGGAAGTCAGGGCTCATAGACACTTTCAGTTTCCACAAGGTTCCGGGTGGGTTTGCCTTGGCAGCTGTACGTGGTCAGATAGGACGCGGCCACATTCCAAGAGGTGAGTCCTATAGTCGCACACCAAGGAGTGAGTCAGGGGTCAGTAGTCCCGGGAACCCCCCAGGAGTCCTGCCTCATGGCGGTACGTGGCCTCACATGAAGCAAGATGCATATCAGGGACTAAGCTGCATCCCAGGAACTGAGCAAAAGGTAGTTACCAAGGTCCCCAGGCTGCTTGTCTCAGGTCACCACGCTGCAGACAGGTCCCCCTGCTCCCCTGGAGCGAGCCGGGCTGGAGGGCTGGGCTCCGGGAGGGTGGGGGGCAGCCATGAATTTTAGTAGGGGAAAGCCAAGAAGGGGGGCAAAGGATGTTCTCGCAAACCCTGCCTTCCTGGGAAGGGCCTGCTGCCCAGAGGGCCGGGGCTCCCTGCAAGGCGGGCGGTGTCCAGCGCACCAGGGTTGCTGGGGGGGCAGGGGCGGGACTGGGAGAGGGTGGGGGCGGGGCTTGAGAGCGCGGGGGCGCCGGGGGCGGAGCCTAGTGGGCTGGGGGCGGGGCCCGCCCTGGCAGCAGGTGTGGGCTCAGCCCAGTTGCGTGATCCCTGCCCAGGACAGGAAGGGCAGATACTGACTTGGTGGGGGGAAAACAGGGTGGATCGCATCCGCCAGGGTGGGTTCTAGTCCGAGAAGAGGGATTTTGCCCAAGTCCTTGGGGTGCGTGGATCCTTTCTAGGAGGTGGGCTCACGGGAGCTGTAGCCCTGACCAGGACGGCTGGTCCAGGCCTGCCGCTGCTGGGGCCCTGCCCTTGGCACAGAGGCTGGAGGGATGGTGGGGGGTGGGTGGAGAGAAGCAGGAGGTGGTGGGTTCACTGACCAGGATACCTGGCCCCAGATGCCTGCACCCCAAGGGGCTGTGCCCCCTGATGGAGGGGAGCCTCAAAGGCCAGCAGGGAGGGCTCGGCTCCCCTTCCCTGCACTCTGGAGCCCCTGCAGCCTCTGTGCTCCTGCTGCCCTGACCTTGGCCTCAGACCCCGGTCAGCACTCAGTCTCGGGACAGTGCGGTCAGGGGGCTGCTGCCCCTCACCACTGGCCCTGCCTGAATGCAAGAAGGTGGACTTCGGGGCCTCCCAGGATCAGTTCCCAGCATTTCACAGAGCAGGTCTCGCTGGCCACGCAGGCGACGCCGCGATTTCACTGCAGCGCGATGGGGAGAGAGTGTTTGCAGGGCCGAGTCTCCTGTGCACGCCCGCGCCTCTGGGCTCCTCACCGCTCCCCTGGGGAGGCCACGCGTCCACCTCAGCCCAGGGGGCATCGAGGACGCGGCCCTGATGCCACTTTCCCAGGGCAGAGACACCCAGAGGCCTCGCGGGGCCGTGGCCACGGAAGCCCCCACACATCACCCGTGGGCCTTTCACCTGCGCAGAGCCAGCCTGGGTGCCTGGGGTGGGGGGGCTTCAGGGTATTTTCCCGACAAGTCTCATGGGGTCACTGGTCGCTGTCATGGTGGCCGCAGTGGGCAGAGGAGACTGTGCTCAGGGACTCAGGCCCTGGCTCAAGGAGCGTGGCCGTGAGGGAAGGTCCTGGGGCAGCCCTGAGAGAACCATCTCTTGCAGCCCCGGGCAGGACCCTGAAAACCAGCTCCCCAGTCTCACCCTGTGCGGGACTGAAGCACAGCCCACAATGAACCCCGCCTTCAGAGTGTCGCTGTGCTGGTGAAGGCAGGATGGGGGGGAATGGTGTCCCGGACAAGAAAGGAGGACGCATGGGGAGCCCCTTGCTGAAGCGAGGGACGGCCTGAGCGCCCCTCCATTTGGGGCGAGTGTGGGAGGTGAGGAAACCGGGTCTGTGCAGGCACCTGAGGGAACAGAGAGGCGCACCCAGAGAGAGAGCCTGGGGAGTTTGGGTGCAGGGGGAGGCGCACACTGGCAGGACCTTCTCCAGCAGCAGGAGAGTGGGGTGTCCTGGGGGTCCCCGCGGGGCTAGGGGCGCTCCTGTGCTCAGGCCTCTCCCCTGGAAGCTCAGCTCCTGCTGCCCAACCCCCCAGCTCATCTGTGGGGCCTCAGCTGTGTGCCCAGAGCCTGAAAGCTCATGATGTTACTGATGTGCAAACATCAGTGCAAGTATTGGGGGTGCTGGCAGAGACCCCTGACACTGCCCAGGGCACATGGCATTCCTGGGGCACAGCAGCACTGAGCTGGGGCTCACCCGGTTTCCTTCCCCCAACCATGGGGTCAGGCATTTGGGCCCAGGGGAGGATGGGGCGCAGGCTCCCCATTGAGGGGGTTTGCACCCAAGAACATGCATGTGTCACCTCGGCTGCCCACGACGCTGAGGACACAAGTTGTGTTTATTGTCCTGGACGGTAAAGGTCGTTGCTGGAAACGCCATCTGTACCATTGTGGACACAAAGATCCCTGACAGAGACGCCAACGTGCCCTCAGTCAGGAGGGAGAAACGTGTTGATTCCTGTGTCTGGACACACGAGTGACACGTGGAAAATTTTCTGGGAATATCAGAAATATCACGCTTCTCCCTTCCCTGGAGATGTCCTCGCTTTTCCTTCCTTCCGTGTCTTTAGCTGCCCGAGTACAGACTGATGTCTTTGTCCTGACCCTGCGTTCGTGTGGGTGATGTTGGGAAGCCACCTCCGTTGGAGACTGAGTTTAGGTCTGACTTCTCTGTCCAAAGGAGTGTGTGTGTGTGTGTGTGTGTGTGTGTCCTCTGCTTCTCAATTCATCTATATTTTATTTTTTAAATTTTATTATTTTAATTAATTTTTCTTTATTGTTAAGATTATGACTTAATTTTTTATTTAATTATTAAAAAATTTCTTGTTGTGTGTTTTAATTCCTGGAGCTACTTCCTAATTATCATTTTCATCTACTCACGGCGCACACCCGTCTTAACTGTCCATGTTGCCTACCCATGTGAACACCTGCGCTGAGCTTCCTGCAGCTGGGCCTCCCACCTGCCAGGCCAGGCACAGGTGTCTGCACCATCGGTGCACACGTGCGCGCGGGTCACCTAGCGCGCCGGCTGCCACATCCTTGAGGACAATGAGTCAGCAGAACTCCCAGACCTGGGCCCCTGTGGATGAGCTGGAAGTACCAAGTGACCTCAACAGTGAGCACCCCTGCTTAATATCTGGACAGTTGGGTGATCTGAAAAACCAATACCTAGGATTTCATCCTATCGGAACGTGCCATCTCTGCCTGCGCGCCGCACCTGGACCCCGTGTGTGGCGAGGAAGGGCCGTCAAGCAAGTCCTAGCTGGGGGGGAGGGTTTGGGTGCGGTCCTGGGAGGTGGGGGCGAGGCCTGACCTAGGGGCTCCATATGACCTGTAAACTTGACCTGGTGACCCTGATGTATGGGACCTGCTGCGTTCCAGGCGCGCCTACCAATCAGTGCCCTGAGAAGCTGAGGAGCAGTTGCTTAGAGGTTTGCGGGACAAAGAATTTTTTTTTTTAAAGAAAGCGCCCTCAGGGAGAGGTTCCAGGGGGTGCATGCACTGGACTTGGCGTTGGGTCCCCGGATTCCATGCTTGACAACGGCTTGGACTTAAGGTTGGAGGCGCTGTGCTTCGAGAACCATCGTCGGTAGCTGTCGCACCTGTCCATGGTGACCTCTCCTTTGCTCCACAAGCCCGCGTGGTTTAAATAGCTCAGGGCTCCTGGGGAGGGGGAATGGTTTGAACCCCAGAAATCCACCCGCATCCAGCCTCACCCTTTCTCCTCACCCAACACCCCTCCCCTTACATTCCCGTTCCCACCCAATTCCAGGCTCGGACCCTGGCCCTGCGGAGGACCTGCCCTGCCCACCCGAGGCTCCGCCCTGGCTCCGCCCCGCCCTGGCTCCGCCCCCAAGACAGCCCCGCCCCGAGAGGCTCCTCCCTCCCGAGAGGCTCCACCCCCACCGAGAGCCGCCCTCACCGGCCCACAGCATCAAGGCTCCCCCTCCCCAGCACAGGTAGCTGGTCATCAGGTAGTACACCTTCGGCTTTGGGTGCAGTGTCTCACATGTGATCACAAAGAATAGGAGACTGAGGATAATCAGGAAACCTGCAGGGAGGTGAGCTCAGAGATAGACACGTCTCTGGACAGGGACCCTGGGACCCAGAGAAAATGAAAAGACGGGTGATCTTCTCCCACCCCCCTTGCCAAGCGCATGCATATAAGCCGGGGAGAGAGAAAGAGAGCTACCCCCCAACACTCACCCCCCACCGAGAAGGCGAAGCAGAGCCCAGAGAAACATGGTGGGCTGGGGCAGCGACCCGGACAGAGAGCAGGAGATTGCGGTGCTGGGGAGAGCCCGGTCCCCAAGCTGGCACTTACCAATGCTGAGGCTCAGGAAACTGAAAATGGCATCCACTTTGTTAAGGCGGTGGAACATGCCATGGAAGGAGAGGCCCATGGTGGAGAGCAGGACCAGACTCAGGGCCATCACCAGCACCATGAAGCCGGTGCTCATGTGCAGGAGAACTGGGGGGAGGGGAGATGCACCAGGCCATTCCCAGATAGTTTCCAAGTTCACCCACCCTCCAGACACCCATGTGCCGCCTACAGACACCCCCCAAAGTTTGCCTATACTCACCCTCAAAATGACTCCCATTCTCAGTCCCAAAGTGACCCCCAGGCACCCATAAAGGCATCTCAAAATCATCCCCACTGACCAACAAGGCATCCCAATTCAGCCCCACTTACCCTTTAGTCCATCACCAGTGACCCGAATAATCCTTCCCCAAGGCCACCCCATAGATGACCCGAGGCATCCCCACTCACATCCTCAAGATCACCTCACAGAATCACCTCCATCAGTTCTAGAGTCACCCCCAGATGCTGCTCCTACTCCCAAAACATGTCTGACTCAGTATCACTCCCAGGCTGCCCTCAAGGTCATCCAAAACACTTCAGCCAGCACGCGCCATTTCCAAAGTCTCCCTCTCTGCTAAAATCTCTTCCATTCACACCCCAAGGTCCCTTCTTGCCCCTAACACCCCCAAACATCCACCAGAGTCACCCAATTCACAGCCCAAAACCTCACCAAATCACCTCCTTTATGTCCCAGACCGTGAGAAAAATACCCAAATCCCAGAAACCCAATGTTCCATAACCCCAACATACCCACTTGAAACTGATGTTTCTCCAATTTACATTTCAACTATGGCGGGAGGTTCCTCCCCTTCTGAGAATTACCACTCCCTTTAGTCCTTTTCCTACTTGGGCTGCTTCTCAGCAGGGCAAGACTGGTCAAATGAGCTGAGGCTCCATCTGCTCTGCACATGTCCCGCCCCAAACCAGAAACCCACAGATGTACAGAACAGCCGTGTGCTCTTGGGACCACATGATCCGGCTTGAAAGCTGACCCTGACAATGCTGGGGAGTGGGGAGGAGGTGCAAGGGGTGGGCTCAGAGGGAGTCATGTGATGCTGGTTGAGCCAATCATAGTGTCCCCAGACCCAGAACATGGTGATTGGCCCAAATATGGGCACATGATCAAAGCCAGCCAATCAAGTTCTGCCCTGGGACTTTGTCAAACTGCAGCTGTCAGGGATGAGCTCTTTCTTCCCTAGTCAAGGGCTTTATAAAGCTGGAGGTGAGTCCTGGGCTCAGCCCCAAGGAGGGCAGGAGAACTGAGAGAATGAACGTGAGAGGGGAAAACAGACAGGGAGGGAGAGGAGGAGACTTAAGAGGACTCTGCATCCCTGGCTCTCGTCATCTGGGCACTGCCCTCTCTGGGGTGGGTCGGAAGTGGACACTGGCTGCTCACCCCATTACACATTACCCCTCCTGGAGGCCCTGCCCTCCCACTGCTTCCAGCCCCTGGGCCCTGGCGATGCCACCTCCTCTCTTGGTCCTTCTGGCCTGGGGTGGAGCCGCTCCCCAGCCTTGCCATCCCCTGCTGGGCTTCTCGGCCCTTCGGGAAGCAGCCCTCCAGGTGCCTGTGTTTAGTCCCCTCTGCAGCACCTGCCCTGGGTGCTTGCCCTCCTGGGAGGCCGATGTCTGACTGTGTGGTATCCCAAGAGGAAGCCGACTCGGGCGGCCATGGAGCCACAGGAGCCGCATCTGAGGCCCTGGGAGCCCCGGGCTCGCTGACCTCATGGCTCTCCTCACTTAGGTGTGCGCTGACGCTCCTCACTCCAACTAGTTCAGGTGAGACTTCCCAACGACCCAAACCAGCAAAGAGCCAGTGAAGGGCCCTTCCCAGGTTGTCAGGGAGCACATATTCACCACTGTGTGTGCAGCACCCACCAAAATTGCAGCCAAGCACACGCACACACACACACAGAGCATTGGCTATTCACCAAAAGTCTTGAGGAAGAACTAACCAAACCTGAGAAGCAATCACCAAAGGTGGAGAAATCAAAATTTCTGCACCTTAAATAAATTAAAAACTTCATAGTCTGTATGTTATTTCTTTACACCCACCACGAGGCTTGGTACATTGGTAGCATTTAGTGAGTGAAGATTTACCTTTAAAAGAAAATCATGGGGGCCTCCCTGGTGACACAAGGGGTTAAGCACCACACTATGAAGCAATCTGCAGCCTCTGCAGCACAAGTTCAATCCCCAGCTGGCCAGGGAGCAACCCACATGGTGCAGCAGACCTCTCCTGTCTCCCCGCTGCTCCCCTCAGCAGTGGATTTCAGTACATCTGCCTGTTCTGCTCCCCACCCTGTCTCTGGTGGATCCTCTCACCCCCACACCTCTGGTCTACACCCCAGCTCTTATATGCACAGATAAATAAATCTTTTTTAAAAAAAAATTTAAAAGGCAAAGAGAGAGAATGATGGTGGTAAGTTTGGCAATCAAATCATGAGGTAGACTGGGTGTAGGTCAAGTAGGAGGCTTTCCCTCCCAGAAGCACTTGCAGCCTGTTTTACATATGCCCTATAGGCTCTCAGGAGAACCCCTCACAAGGTCCCATGAGACACCCAAGGTTTCCCTCACTGCCCTAATGATCTCCAGAGGCATCCCCCACCCCCAAAGCACCCACAGGCAGCGCAGGCTCCCACTCCCACTCACCCGTGACCCTGCCCAGGTGGGCACATTGGTACTTCCCGCAGTTGCTCCAGATGCTCACGTGGCCCATGTAGGGGGCCTCCAGGTAAGCCATTCGACCGTCCATCACACTGAGGCTCATCAGGGTCGCCAGGGTGCTGAAGACCAGAGCCCAGCCCCGCAGGACGAACTTGCGGTCTTTCTCCCAGGAGGAGGCTAGATTCACGGGGAAAGAACCGAGTTCTGGGGCCTGGATCCACCCCATCCCTCTGCTGCATCCAGCCCCCACCCACGCCACACCTCCTTCCCCACCCACTCCTGGCCTTCCTCACCCCACCCCACCCCCGTTCTCAAACCCCTTCCACCCAGCCCAGCCCCAACCCCAAATCATCTCTCTCTCTGTCCCCATCCTGCGGCCACCTTCACTTCATGTCCAGCAGCATCCGCGCCCATGTCAGCTACCGTGTTGTTCCTGTCCCAAGGTTCAAGCACCACCGCATCCCCAGCTCTGGCTCCAAGCACGTCCTCATTCCCATACATAACCTAGTCCCACCACCCCCATCCGCAGCCCTATTGGCAGCCCAGAGTGCCAACCCCATCCTCCAGGCCCCATTTGTCAAACTCCAGCTCCAGCTCATGCCCCATCCCCATCCTTGATGCAAATCCCAACTCAGGCATGGCGAAAACTTGCCCCGGGAGGCTGAGACCCACCGTGTAAGCCAGCAGCAGGGAGTATTTCAGAAACTGATGGTACAAATATAGAAATGACCCAAGCAGAGAAGTAAGATTTCAGAAAAATAAAGAAACTCCATGAGAAAAAATGTAAGGTGAAGAAAGAGAAGAGAGCAGAGACCCTACTCAAAGAAATAATAGCTGAGGATAATGATCAAGAGGGCAATTTATCGAGAAGGTTTAGCTCCCATCCATCCTTACACACCCAAAATAGGCCCACATAAATAAATGAAACAGCTCATAACCTATAGTGCTGCAGGGGGCCTTGATGCCCCAGCCAGATAAGACACTGGCAAGCAGCTAAGCTAAAGGGCCTCACACCGTGGGGCTGAAGATTTAACATGCCTTTATTTTTTGTTCTTGGTCATAAAAAGAGAAAAATTTATCAGAAAGTACATAGGCAATAAATTATATGCATCAGTGTACTGCAAATAAACGGCACGGAAAGTTATCTGTGTAGAAAATTAGTTATTAAACAATTTGGCCCACTTGACAATGGGAGACAATTTATTGTACATATCTGACAAGCAATCCAACACAACAATTATAGTAAATCCTTTTGCTTTTTTAGAAGCTTCATGGGAAAGTTTTTAAATGAAGTGAACTGTGTTAAGGAGTTTCTAGGTAAAAAAAGTTCTAATAGCTGAGTAGCAGCTGGTCTCCTCCGGCTGAAGGCCATATGAATAGAAGAGTCTTTTGATGCTTAGGCTTTAGGTGACAGGGATGTACTGGCGGCACCTAGTGTGATCCTCCACACTAATTGTTTCTGCTTTGCACATAATGATGTAATGTTTCTGCCTACTAAAAATAAATAAATAAAGACCTGCTGAGTCTCTCGGCAGAAGATTTTTACACCCCATCCAGTATCAGTGTCTCCTCAATCCCCTTCCCTTTAGCCCCTAACGTGTCGCCTAGGCCATCTCATCCTTTCAAGGAACCCCTGACACGACATTTTGCCGGAGGCTGGTCCCCGACACTATCACAACCCATGGACAGCAGCACAATAAGAGTAGTATGATGGCCATCTGCGCTCAGAAGACCAACCAATCAATCAATCAATCAATAACAATCAATCAGATTTTTTAAAATATTTTAGTTCTTTTTAAAGATTTATTTATTTATACAAGAACTGGGGTACAGGCCAGATGCTTGGGAGGGTGAGAGGGAGAGAGACAGAGCACGGGGAGCAGAACAGGCAGACTGATGAAACACACTGCTGAAGAGAGCAGCGGGTGAGACAGGAGAGGTCTGCCGCACCATGTGGGATTCTTGCCGGCCCGCCGGGATCAAACCCTCACTGCAAAGGCTGGGGACAGCTTCACAGTGCGGCGCTCAACCACCTATGCCACCAGGAAGGCCCACAATCAATCATATTTTAAGAAATAACAATAGATGGTCCCAGCGTACTACTTACATCAATGATAGATCATTCCAACCGAACATAAATGAGAACATAATGGTCTTAATTGAAGCAATAAATGAAAGGAATGAAAACACATCCTTTCACGTGCACACAGGACATCCCCAAGGGCAGATCTAAAGTGGTTTTGTACCTGAAAGAAACCACCCCTAAAACAAAAAGGCAACCTATGGGCGGGAGAGGATATTTGCATCTTACGTTCCCACAGGGGTTAATTTCTTTTAAAAAATATTTTTTATGTATTTATGCATATAAGAACTAGGGTACAGTCAAGAGGTGTGGGGGTGGGGGGTGTGTGAGAGGATTTCCCAGAGACAGAGTGGGGAACAGGACAGGTGGATTGACTGAAACACACTGCTGAGGGGAGCAGCGGGGAGACAGGAGAGGTCTGCTGCACCATGTGGGTAGCTCCCTGGCCGGGGATCGAACTCGTGCAGCAGTGGCTGCAGACAGCTTCATAGCTTGCATCTTAGCCCCTTGTGCCACCAGGGAAGCCCCCCACTGGGGTTAATTTCTAGCGGAGAATTTGTCCAACTCAACAACAAGAACCTGACCCGATAAAAAGTGAAAGCAGCATCCACCGTGGACATGTCTCCAGGGAACACATGCGGCTGGCCTGCGGGACACCGCTTAGTATCAGGGAGACACAAATCAAAACCACACTGAGATCCCACTTCACCTCTCTGGGAATGACCCCATATCAGGAAGCTCGGAGACGACGAACGTTGGTGGGATGTGGAGAACACTCACCAAGAGAACACTGCTCGGTTACTTGAGAAGATGAAATAGTGCCTTTGGGGGCTTCCCTGGTGGCGCAAGTAGTTAAGCACAGCACCATGAAGCTATCCACAGCCTCTGCAACACGAGTTCAATCCCCGGCTGGCCAGGGAGAAACCCACATGGCGCCGCAGACCTCTCCTGTCTACCCGTTGCCCCTCTTAGCAGTGTACTTTGGTCAATCTGCCTGTTCTGCCCCCCACTCTGTCTCTGGTGAATCCTCTCACCCCCTGCACCTCTGGCCTGTACCCCAGCTCTTGTATGCATAAATAAACCTTTAAAAAAAGAAATAGTGCCTTTTGGACCAAAGGGGATGACGCTGCATGAACTAAATCAGAAAGAAGATAGTTATTGCTAGATGGTTTCACTTGTTTGTGGAATATAAATGACCAGAGACAAATAGGTTACATTCCAAAAATTACAGTGGTGGCTGGCGGGGGTGGGGGAGACTGGAGTGGGACTGACGGAGGGAAGGTGATGGCTCTTTGGCGAGTGAAGCATGTGCGTAAAAGGAGGTGTGAAATTGTAGCCCCCAAATGACATAGTTATGTAGACAATTGGCACATCAATCAAGTTCGCCACGGCTTCATACACTCTTTGGGACGTCTGCACCCCTGCTATCTTAAGCCCTTCTCAAGCGGCAGCTGGGTCTGCTGAGCCCAGATTGGGGATCTTTGGAAGCAGAGTCCCTGAGGTCTCAGGCAATGTGAAGAGAGACCGAGGACGCAGGTGAGCAGGAGAGGGGTGGACTCCAGAAAGGAATCCAAGGGTGAAGTTGATTCAGAGACACCTGGGCAAGGAGTGGGATGGAGGCAGGTAGGACGAGCAAATCATCAATCCGGACCTCGAGAAACTGCAGGCACTGAACTCAGAGAGGCTGGTGACCCACCCCAACCCACCCCTACCCTGTCCTGAACCTCTCAGACTCAGTCATGACCTGTTCTTGACAGTCTTGACCCTGACCACACCCCACGCTGACCTCACCCCCACCCAGCCCAAGCCCCATGACACTCACAAGTGTCTGAGGCCACCGCTGACATCCTAACCTCCTAGAACCCCTCCAACTGCCATAGAACCTCTCCCCACCCCTAGCTGCTGGTGAGACAGAAGAATCGAGGCCTTTCTGTGGACAGTTCAAGAGACCAAGAAACACAGAAGCAGAGGAAGAGAGATCTAAAGGCCAAGGGGCAGCGCCTGGACCCCAGAGAGACCTATGGACTTCTAAGTGGCCGTAGGCATGCCTGGAGAGAGGGGCTGAGGCAGTTGGCTGGCTGCTGAGTGCATCTGGGGACTGACCATCCCCTGTATCTCCATATGTCCCAGACACCCCAACCCAGCCATGAGCATGCCCAGCCTGGTTTCCTTCCAGCAGCTCCCAAGAACACTCAAGACCAGGTCCAAGACCCTTTGTCAGTTACCAACAGGACCCAAGATCCTCCACCCATTAACTACAGTAGCCAGGTGAATTTCCAAGACCCTCCACCAGCCAACGAACACCAGATCAGTGCCCAGGATGCACCGCCCAGCTCCCGCAGTCACCGGGTCAGTTTCCAAGGCCCCCTACACACCAACAACCACAGGGTCAGTACCCAGGACACACAGCCCAGCTTCCACAGTCGCCGGGTTAGTTTCCAAGACCCCCTACACGCCAACAACCATGGGGTCAGTACCCAGGACACACCGCCCGGCTCCCACAGTCACCGGGTCAGTTTCCAAGGCCCCCTACGCGGGAACGACCGCAGGGTCAGTACCCAAGACATACTGCCCGGCTCTCACAGTCGCCGGGTCAGTTTCCAATCCTCCCTCGCCACTATCCACGGTCATCAATTCGGTACCCCAGGCCCTCCGCCAGCCACTGACCGCCGGCTCAGTGCGCAGGACACACAGCCCAGCACCCAGAGCCGTCGGGTCAGTTTCCAAACTTACCAGCCCATTACCCACAGTCATCGAGTCAGCATCCCAGGCCCTCTGCTGGTCAACAGTCACCAGGTCAGCGCCGAGGACACAAGATCTGTCACCCAGAGTCCTCGGGGCAGTATCCAAGGGTCTGCGTCCATTACCCAGAGCCCTTGGGTCAGCATCCAAGGCCCCTCGCCAGCTAGCAGTTACCACATCAGTATCCAAAATACTCCGCCAACTAAAGGTCGCAAATTCAGCTCTGAGGACATGCTGTCCCCTATCCAAAGTTGTCAGGTCAGTTTCCAAGACATATCTTCAGTTATCGACGGTCTCCAGTCCAGTTCCCAGAAGGTCTCGCCGATTTTCCAAGCTCGCCTTCTCTCCCTCACCGACACAGAGTCAACTGCCCACAGCAGTGAAGTCAGCACCAAAGGCCAACAGCCGACACCTCGGGGCTCCCATTCAAGCCTCCCACACACTGTATCCCCGCTCCAGTCCACAGCCAGAGTCTCTGCCCTGTTAACTCTGAGGCCCAGTACCAAAAGCGACGAAACATTGATCAGCACTTCCCAGAAGGTTTCCAAAGCCTCTGTGGGCATTTCCCAGCTTGACCAGAGTGATCCAGACAGCACCCACAGCTTACCACCCGTCATCAGCAGAGAGGGCGCTCCGTTCAGGTGAGAGGTGAGGTTCCGGGCAGTAGATGGGGTTCTGGGCTAGAATCCTGGGGGAAGGGCCAAAGTCATAGGGCAGAGACCAGAGCACAGCCAGTATGGCAGAGACTGGAAATGGTGTTCCCGGGAATAGGGCCGGGATCTGCTGCCCGCCACTATCAAACAGCCAATAGGCAGAGCCAGGAATGGAATCCAGAAGCGGTTTTATTCTTCACATTGCGGGCCATCGAACAGAGAGAATGGAAGGACTGTTCTGCCATCTCATCTCGAATTGGCCTTTTTTTTTAAATTTTTTTAAAAGATGTATTTATTTATGCATGCAAGAACTGGGGTACAGGCCAGAGGTGTGGGGGGTTGAGAAGATTCACCAGAGACAGAGCAGGGAGCAGAACAAGCAGACTGACTGAAATACACTGCTGAGGGGAGCAGCGGGGAGACAGGAGAGGCCTGCCATGCCATGTGGGTAGCTCCCTGACCGGCTGGGGATTGAACTCATGCTGCAGAGGCTGTGGATAGCTTCACAGGTTGAGTCTTAACCTCTTGTGCCACCAGGGAGGCCCCTTGAGCTGGCCTTTTTATAAAGAGTTAAACAACGGCAGTTTTTCATAAGCAAGCAGCCGGTCAGAACAGCCCGACGTGGCTGATGCTCTTGGTATGAGTCACGTTCAGCCCCAGCGTTTGTTAACAGCTTCTGAGTTTCCTCGACCCTGGTGCATCTGATGGCGTCAAGGTCTAGCACTCACTGGGGCATCTCCCGGACAGGAGTCTCCATTTCAAAGCAAGAGCTTTAGTTTGATGAATACAGATGACTAGCCAGACAGTGAGCCCGTGCGGCCCGGGCCAGGTGTGCAGTTTCCAGGACTAGGTTAGGTGCCCTTTCTTCCCTCCCTGGCCCCCATCAGTTGGACTTATGGGCATGGAAACCCCAAGTTTGAACCTAGAAGGCAGGACCTGGGAAATCTGGGCACGAAGGACAGACATAGGGAAGATAAAGTCTGGAGCTCCTGGTGCTGGGGGGCCTCAGTCTGACATGGTGGTGTGTGATCTGCTGCAGGTCTTGGTACGAGAGTAGACGCCATTCTCAGCTGTCCATAGGCTGGCGGTTGCTACACGAGGCCAAGAAGATCAGCCACAAGATCAGCCTGGCACTGGGCCTGGCTGGCATAGTGGTCATTGGCCTCATCTGTCTGGGCCAGCCCTGGCTCCATTTCCAGGTGCCACTGAGGCCTCCTGGCCACGCTGCTGGTCCCCTGACCTTCCACATCACCACTATGTTCTATGTGCGGTGTCCCGACGTCTCCTGTATGCATGAATTCGACAAAAATGCTTGTAAGGCTGCTCCGTATCTCCATTCCTGGTGCTCCTGGCTGTTCTTTGTCCTAGGGATCCCTTTCTGCCTTCCCAGCGATGGCCCTTTCTGCCCCAGGACCAGCGGTGTGATCCCTTCCCTCACCATCTTAACCCTGCAGCTGTACCTGATATTAGCTCTGTCACCTGACATTAGCTTTTATCATGTCAAGCTGGCTCCTCAATGCCTGCCCCACCTCTCGCTGCCCAAGAACCTGTCCTCACTGCTCTAGAGATGTCTCCCCAATGCCTGCCCCGCCACCCCTTCTCTAGAGCCCATTTACAATGTTCTTAAAATGAGGATGAAGAATTTGGAGGGGAGGGTATAAGAGTAGGCCCACACTCGCTGAGCCCCTCCCCCATGCTGGGGCCTGAGGGCCTGTCTTGGCATTCCCGGTTCTCTTCCTTTCCCAGACTTGCTGGACTTTGCCTGGGCCTTCTTCCTCATTGCCAGCATCTCCAGCTTATGCCTCTGCAGCCTGCTCCTACACATCATGTTCTTCACCAGCTCCAACCTGCCCGTGCTGGACTTCTCCAACACCATCTTCAGCTTCTTGGCAGGCACGGCGCTGTGCCCCCACGTCAGGAACCTCGCCCAGCGCCCCTGGTGACCCCCAGCCCATTCCCGCCACACCCAGTTTCATCCCCAGTCTCCCCTTCACCCCAATCCCAACCCTACCCCATCATCTCCAGGCAAGTGAAAAATATCAACTGCCAACCCCAGCTCTGACAACAGCTTCCACCGCACCTCTCATCTGCAACCACCAACAAATCTCTGCTCCACCCACATTCCCTCCCATGATGCACCTTCCCCGCCCCCACTCCCCCACCCTCCCACTGAATTCTATTTGCTCTCCAGTCTCCAAATCTTCTCCATTAGCATCCCCCAGCCCCGCTGATCTCAATCGCCAACTCAGCCCCATGCCTGACCATCCTCAACGCAAGCTCCAGACCCAACCCAGCCTTGTCACTTGTCACCTAAGTTCAAATTCAATGCCACTCCATCTCTGACCCCACCTTCTTCTCAATCCCCTCATGCCCAAACACCACTGCAACCCACTCCATCACCAGAGAACATTACATTCAAACTCCACCCAACCCATCCCCAGTCTCCCTCATGCCCAACCACACTCCGTCCCCAACACCAGCCTCAACATCAACCTCCATTCTTATCGCTGACTTCAACCTCTACCCAATGCCCAACCCCATTTCCAGCTCCCACCCCACCCCAGATCCTGTCTCTGCAAGCCCAGCGGCTCTGTGATTTTGTTCAGACTGAGCCACGGTTTTCTCATCTGTGAGAAAGGGAGAAACTGTCCTCTCACGTGGAGATCTAGTGAAGATTGAATGGAATTGTCCTTACTTCACAGGAGCTGTTTAACTTGCACGAACTCCTACCGTAATCATGCTCCCACCCCCAGCTAATAAGTCCAAATTGATATTCTGATTAGAATCCTTTAGCTGCCCATTTGAATGCTAACCCCACATTTTATTCATTTTTTTAAAGATTTATTTTATTTATATATGCGTACAAGAGCTGGGGTGTAGGCCAGAGGTGCAGGGAGGTGGTGAGAAGATTCACCAGAGACTGAATGGGGAGCAGAACAGGCAGATCTACTGAAATCCACTGCTGAGGGAGCAGCTGGGAGACAGGAGAGGTCTCTGCGCCATGTGGGTCAGCTCCCTGGTCGGGGATAGGACTCGTGCTGCAATCATTGGAAATAGCTTGATAGTGCTGAGACTTTAACCCCTGTGCCACCAGGGAGGCCCGCCAAGCCCATATTTTAAAGGGAGGGACTTTATTTTTTTTAAAAGATTTATTTATTTATACAAGAACTGGGGTACAGGCCAGATGTGCGGGAGGGTGAAAGGATCCACCAGAGACACAGCGGGGAACAGAACAGGCAGACCGACCGAAATACATTGCTGAGGGGAGCAGCAGGCTAGACAGGAGAGGCCTGTTGTGCCGCGGTGTGGGTCACCTCCCTGGCCGGGATTGAACTCCTGCGGCAGTGGTTGGAGATATCTTGATAGCGCTGACTTTAACCCCTGCACCACCAGGGAGGCCAGCCAACCCCACATTTTAAAGGCGGGGGGACTTTAATTTGGAGGTGAAGGCTATTCCATCTTATAGTAACTGATCAGGACTGTCAGTTGTGGCAGGCAGACAGTCTGAGAATGATAGTGAGGCCCAACGCAGACCACGCCCAGTTTCCTGTTGCCTTGCTCATCAGCGTTAGCCCTCTGGTTTGTTGGTATCAAAGGCAGAAAACACCTTGTTATGCATCTAAAATAGCACACTTCCCTACAAGACAGTGACTTCTGTCCATTGCCTTCTTTAGTTAAACAGAAAAGAAAAGTACCTCCTGTTTTTCAATAACATTAAAAAAAAAAAAAACCCAGTACCCCACTATCTGAAAGAAAACAGGTCTTTTCCTTTGCACAAATTACCTTACGTTTGGGTCACTTCAAAATAAAGTTAAAATCCCCAGAGTGACTGCTTGATCCACTACTTCAGAAGGCCCAAAATAAAGACTCGCTGTGATAATAATAGATCTCAACTGCTGAGGACTCACGACACGCCAGGGAGCGTGGGTCTACGACTCTGCGTGAACAGATGAGGAAAGCCAGGCCCAGGGAGATGGAGTGACTGCCATGGGGTGCAGGCAGTGGTGGGCCAAGCTCTGGTCTGTGGCCCTACACCCTGAGGCTGTGGGACAGCACCATTCCCAAGCCTTGCACTTCCAGTGCCCTTGACCTTGAACTTACCGGAACACCATCTTCCCATTGTGAGCTGAAGTAATGGGAGGGGAAAGTAAGGAGAAGATAAGAAGCAGCATCTGGCCATGCAGCTGGTGGACAGGGTCCTTGCCCCCCCAAAACCCGATGCCTGGCCTCCTAACACCTGTATTCACGCAGGGACCAGCATGATGTTGGGAATCCTGTTCTACCTAATGCAGGCTCAGCAGTTCCTGCAGGAGGGCATGACCTACAAGCTGGGGAACAGCTTCTACCTCACATGGATTGGCATCTTCTTCTTCCTGATGACTGGTCTGGCCTGGTGCAGGGATGGGCCGGGCAGGGGTGCAGGGAGGCAAATGGGGCTGGGGTCGGACTGAGAAGTCGGAGGTGAGGCCGGGCCAGGAGGATTTAGACTGGAGAGGGGTTTAGATTGGAGTTTGAACATGGAGGTGGGGAAAAAAGCAGGGGAAAGGGAAGAGTTTGGGTTGCCCCTGGCCAGGAGGCTGGGGTCAGGGTTGGGTTGGTAAACTCTGCTTTTCACCACCTCTGCTCTCTCCTGCTGCAGGTATCCTTTCCTACTTGAACTACACAAACTTCTGGTCTGTCCTGGCACTCCCCGGACTCGTCTGGACTTGAGAACAACGCAGTCTCTGGCCTGCTCCCGCAGCTCTGTGCCCAGCGCCTGACAAGCCCCCACGGGCACCAAGAACATGGTCCTTTTTTAGTCCCTCTGAATCCCCCTAGCCCAGATGAATAATCTGTATTTGTAAATAATCTGCATTTTTTTCTCCCAGAATATTCTTTTAGCTCAGGGCCTTGTATAAGTGTTCAATGAAACCGGCATCCCTCGCTGGGACCATCTCTCGGGCCTCCTGGGGTAGCGGGATGAGTGAGGGAATCGAGGGGACAGACAGGCTGAAGGGCAGCAGGTCGATGGTTTCTGCCACCGAGACAAATGATGCTGGAGACTGGTCGATTTCCCCCAAGCCCTTTGGGCTCCATCTTTTATTTTTGTCACCGTCAGTAATATTCCCTTCCCAGGGAGAATTCTCCCTGCACCCACACTTCACCTCCTGGCCTCACCAGCAATGCTGGCCACCATCTCCTCTTTCTTCTCCCCAGTCCTCCAACACAAAGCTCTTCTGTAAAAATTTTTTAAATTACAGTTGACTCTTGAAGAAGGTGGGATTTAGGAGTCTCCACGCCACCAGGAAAACAATGGGCAGAGGGACCCTCCAGGAGCCTCACAAGAGGCCACTGCTTCCGAGCGCTCTCCTTATGTGCCCCTGCCGGAGACACTTGAAGAGTCACCTGGAGAATCTGGAACCCTCCCTTTTCAGATGACACTGTAACAGAAGCATCTCTTTACCCATTGTGTGTGTGTGTGTGTGTGTGTGTGTGTGCGCGCGCTGTGTCCATAAAGTAAAAAAAAGGGCCCACACCAGACCGACAGTGGTCACCTATAGTGACTGAGTTTAGAAAAATTTCGTTTTTTAATCTGGAAAAAAAGCTTAACAATTACGCCACTACAAAGACACCAAGACATCTTAGCAACAGTCCAAATGCCCAGGTTTTAGGTCCTACAAAGTCCGGGTGAGCCCCAAACCCAATTCTCCAGCCCCAGTTCCCCCAAACCCGGGAATCCAAGCCCCAGCCTTCCCCGCCCTGGGACTCAGGAGCCTGGATCCTCGGTCCCTCCCTCCGACACTGGGGTCCAGCCCCCCAGCCCCATCTTTTCCCGAACGCCGGAATCTGACCTCAGACGTCGGAACCTGCTGCCCCTTTCTCCCCCAGACCCCCAGCCCCGCCTTCCCGGCCCCCTGCAGTACCCGCGCCCCTCAAATTCAGGGCCTGGCCGGGGTACACACCGGTTCCCTGTCAATCTCCGCCTGGCACCGCCTCCCACTCCGCGGCGGTCACGTGGTCTGGGCGGGGTCAGCCGCTGCAGCCCCAGTGCGCGCCCCCCCGGCGCGCAGGCGGTAGCGAACGCCTCCCCTCGCGGCTCCGCCCACACCCGGGGTCCTTCCTCTCCACGGCGAGCCTTGGGTGCTGCCCGGAAACTTGCCTGACGCGCACGAAATAATGTGCCCCGCAATTTCCTTATTCCTTCTTCTTTCCCTCCAAGAACAACGTCTCTTCGTCTACGTTGGGCGATTCTAGCGGGGCAGGCAGTATTCCTTTTCCACAGACACCAAAACAGGGTTTCCGGAACCGGCGCGCGCCCGGGGCCCCTCTGGGCGGGGCGGGGCTGGCCCCGGGGGGCGGGCCCCGCGAGCGGCGGGCGCTATAAAGCGGGACGCGTGGCTCGCCCGCAGGCCCGGAAGTGCGACCTCGGTGAGCTCCCCTCGGCGGCGCGGCGGGGCTTCGGGCGCCGGGCCGGCGCGTCGTGAGGCGGGCGATCGGGCTTTGGGCGGGGAGGCCCCTTGCGAGATCCGGCGGGTCCTCCGAGGCGGCCGGAGCGGGTGGGGGCCGCCGGGGCCTCCCCTCCTTGGTCCGCGGCGCGGCCTGTGGCGCCATTTCTGCCGCCCACGTTGCCGCTCTCCGCCATCTTTTGGGGGGACGGAGGTGTGCGTGAGACAGTGATTTTCCCTCCTTTTCTCCTTTCCGAGACTGCCACCCCGCTGCTAGCTACACGTGCTGGCCGCTCCCGGCGCCGGGGATTCTCGTCCCAGCTGCGGAGGCGGCGTCACCAGGGTGTCGGGGCGGGCGGGGGAAGTGGGCGCCGGGTCTCCCAGCGAAGGGCTGGGCTGTTGGAGAAGAAGCGTCTGTGGTCTCGGGGTCTCTGTTCGCCTTCAGGAGTGATCCTGACACTCCAAGCATCCGGCCACTCCAGAGGTCAAAGGTCCCGAGACGTCTTCTCGGACTGGTCTTGCCCGACTGCCAAGCATGTCCCCTCCAGCAACGGCCTGTGCAAGGATCTGTCTCGCCCCATTCAGCTCGCGCCAGTCCTCTGTTGCCTTCGTCCAAGACATTCCTTTCTCTGTGCTTTTTTTTTTTTTTTTTTTAACTTACTAAAATCCTCAAACTTACAGGGAAATAGACGGCAGTTTTAACTGGACGTTTCACCTGTTCGTTTCATTTGTGCCTCGTGTCTTGAAAATACATTTCCTTTTCCATCCTAAACAGTTAACATTAACAGGTGGCATCTTTCTACTTGGGGACGGTGCCCCTGGCACCCGTAAGGAGACGCGTTCCTGTGTGGGGCCATCCTCTGCTTTGACTTCATTCCTCCATCCCTTCCAAACTGCCTCCGCTGCTGGTTTATTCAGACCTGTGAGGGGTCTCTCTGCTCATGGCCTAGACCTCAGGGTTCTTTTTCCGAGAGTAGCTGCCCTCTCCAAGCTCTCCAGTTAGGTTCTAAGCAGGGGTCTGCGTGTGGCCCCTCCCTGTTCAGGGTTGCAGGAGTGTAAGCTGTGTTGAGGACCACACAGCTGCACCAGGCCAGGCTTCTCTGTCAGGTGTTTTGAGGACAGTCCTGGTGGGTGTGGGGACTTTGGCCTTGTGTTCCCTCCTGGTGCGTTTTGTGCATCTCCCAGGTCTTGAGCTGTGAGGTTGGTCCCTGAAGGTCAATGGCCTTGGGACTTTGCAGTAAAGGGACCCGGCCCCCATGATGTCTAGCACTGGGCTCCTATTACCCTTGAGGACACAGTGCCCCCCAGGACCTTTGACACCTGGGGGTCTGAGGGGCCCTGGTTTCGATCTGCCTCACCCCAGCCCTGGGCTTTTACCCCTCCCCCAACCTCACCAAGGCCTTCCTGTGTTGCAGGTGAACCTTCAAGCTGAGGGGCCAGGCCCACCACCCCGTCTTGGTAAGGTTTCTACTCCCTGACCATCCCAGGTCTAAAATAGCCTCACCCAATTTGAGGTGGTGCCAAAACCACCCTGTGGGACCCAATTCACGTGCAGTGATGGTCGGGATTCATGAACAGCAGGCAGCTCTGTGCTGTGTGGGGAGCTGGGGAGATGCCGTCAGCCCCCTGGGGCCAGATGCTGGCCTGCTCTTCCAGGAGTGTCTACCAGGGTCCCTGTCTGCATCTGGAGTGGGCACCGAGGCAGGGGTCAGGGCTGTGCATTTGGCTGGGGGACGGCAGGTGTCAGCCTCAAGGTGAGGGTTGGGTGAGACCAGGAAGGCCCGGGCTGTGAGTTGAGTTTCAGGGAAAAGGTTCAGACTTGGCCAAGGGAAGAGCAGGCCACCCACAGATTCCCATGACCTGGGGACTTCTGCAGGTGAAGTATGGTGGACCCTCAGCTGCTGGCAGGGGCCTGCGAGTCAAACGATGTGGGTATTAATGGGAACCCCACTTGCCCCAACAGCTACTGTTGCAACTGTGCCCTTTAGTCAGAACGTTCCACTCATTTTTCAAAGGGTAAAGTCACGACACCGGCCTGGGGACTTGTGCGAAAAGAACCGCGTGCTCTGCTATGGGGCTTCTTTGGGCTTCTCAGAGCTTCACTCCTTGTTGACAAACCCCATAGGGACAGACGCTGCTGCCTGTGGAGGGCCACCCGGGTCCAGACAGGCAAAGCCGGGGCTCCTTCAGCAAGCTGGCTGCCATTGGGCAGGGACGGGGTTGCAGAAGAGGAGATAGTTACAGCTGCCACAGGACAGGGCGGGCTTCGGGCAGGAGCGGCCAGCAGACAGGCACCCCGAGTGGCTGGCGCCTGAGGTGCTCTTGATTCCTTCCCTTTAGTCTCCAGCTGTGGGAAATCCAACTCGAGACCCCAGCGCTCGGCGGGCCATGAGGTCAGAGCACACGTCTGGGTGTCTCACCGTGGCTGGACACGTTGAGGTGGCGGAGCCAGAGGAATGTGGGGACCCTAGTGAGGAGCAGCTGTGGCAGCCCAGACTCCTGCATGGCTGCAATGACAGGCTGGGGTCGCTGGGTCTTGCCACAGCCTGAGGAGATCACTGGACCCAACGTCACGAGTGGCAGTGTCACGAGAAGGAAATGACACACACCAGAAACCGAACGCCATGGCTATGAGGAGGTGATGGAAAAATCCAGCACCTGTCAGGAGGCTCTACCAAGCACCAGTGTTAGCTTAGGGGCAGAGGGCCCCGTAGCACACGTTCGTGCTGGAGGGTGTACTGGGCTGCGCTGGACCTGAGCAGATTGGCACAGTCGGTGAGACAGGACGGAAGGGCTTTGGGAGCAAGAGCAGGAGGAAGATGTTGATTTTTAGATGACGAGACTGCGAGGAGTGTCTGGCACCACAGGAAAGGTAGCGGAAGGACAGCAGGTGGCCCGGAGGGAGCAGGGAGCGGGCTTGGCTGAATAATAAGAGGTGGGCTGTTCCATCTTAAATGCGGTCTGATTTCAGAGGGAGAAACAGGCAGGCGGGCTTGGGTTACCTGGGGTGGCAAGAAGTGACGAGGGGGGCCCCTCTCAATGCCTCAGAACCCAGGTTTTGGTTGGCTTTCTCAGCCCGAAGCTTTGGGCTCTTGTCTGCCATCCCCTTTAGGGTGCAGGAGTGGGGATGAGCCCAGGGCCCCTGTGATGTCCAGCACTGGGCTCTGACAGTTCCCTGTGGACACGGTGCCCCCCCGGGACCTTTGACACCCGGGGATCTGAGGGGTCATGGCTCTGGAAAGGCTGGAGAGGGGACCGGGTTGCCCTGTACCCCTCTGATCTTCCCCCACTCCTTCCTGTCTGCAGGTGGTTCCCCAGAAGCCCATGGCTGCCTTCTAGGTAAGAACAGAAGGGGCTACCTGGAGATGGGGCGAGCTTCGATCTGAGCTGATGGGATAACGCGGTGGGGGGCAAGGCGGGGGGCACAGCTAGGTTGTGCTGGGGGCTCCCATGATGTCCAGCACTGGGCTCTGATCTCCTGTGAGGACACAGTGACCCCCAGGACCTTTGACACCTGGAGGTCTGAGGGGCCCCCCTACTCTGGGAGAGCGCTGAGGGAGAGGCAGATTTTCCCTGACCTAATCCCTTGTCCTTCCTGTTGCTGTTCCCCACCCAGGGCAGAGAGTGTGCCCGCCCCTATACCTGCCATGAGCTGGCGATCACCTGGATCCTGTGAGTGCACAACCTGGGGGCCGGCCCTGTCCCTCACCTCTACAGCGCTGCTGGGGGCCTGATGGTGATGCCCTTCAACTATCCTGCAAGGTGCTGTGGGGGGGGGCTGCAGGGTGCTGCTGGCCTAGTGCCAGCACCAGGACTTCACCATGTGGGGGTCATCCAGTCGGTGCAGGAGCTGGGCTGGTGGAGAGCCGGGTGTGCAAGGGATGCCCTTTGGCTGCACCGCCCCTGGGCAGCCTGCAGGTCGAGGGTATGACAGTCACTGACATCCCCAGCCCCACCCACAGGGACTTTGTGAGGGCTGCCTGCAGAGCCATGGTGGGCCCCCAGCCAGAGGGTGGAGAAGCAGGCCGGCCTCTCCCCCCCAGCTTTACATCAAAGAAGCCAAGAACAGCCTCCTGTCCTCCAGGCTGTGCTTGGTGCCACCCCCACTCTTTGCCATCAGGTCAAGGGGCCACCCACCCGCACTCCCCTTGGCACCATAGAGAGGCCCAACTGCAGGGGAGACACTGATCTGTGGCCAGTGCCCCCTGAGTATCCATGGAATGTACAGGGTACCTTAGCACATTTGAGGAGCCCTGAAGTAAAGGGGCGCTTCCCGACTCCCCCACTGGCCAGAGCCAGTGTAGGGCCACGAGACTCGATTTTATGCATTTGTAACACAGGGGTTTGAGGGACACTTGTTTACCCTTTTGTATTGTTTTGTCCTGGTTTTTCTCTTAAAACTTTTTTGCATTTTTCTGGGCCTCCTTGGTGATGGCGCAAAGGGTTAAGTCTCAGCACTGTGAAGCTATCCACAGCCTGAGTTCAAACCCCGGCCAGGGAGCTACCCACACGGTGCGGCAGACCTCTCCTGTCTCCCCGCTGCTCCCCTCAGGAGTGTTTCAGTCAATCTGCCTGTTCTGCTCCCCACTCTGTCTCTGGTGAATCCTCTCACCCCTTGCACCTCTGGCCTGTACTCCAGCTCTTGTATGCATAAATAAATCTTTTTTTTTAAAAAAAAAAACGTTTTTTGCATTTTTCTCTTAATGCCCTCGTGCTGTGGGCGGGCTAGGGGTGGGGGCCTGCTCCACTGCTCCCTGGTGGCGTGTGACCATGGCTCCTGTGTCTCATCTGGCAAGGGTGTGTGTGTGAGGATGGACATCCCTGGCTGTCAATGCTGGGTACCCACTAACTGTGCATGGCGTGACAGGGGGTGTTCCCAGTTATGGGGAGACCTGGAGGCCCCCATGTCCTTGGGACAGCCTAGGAGGCTGGGGAGCTGGCAGTGCCCCAAGGACAGGTGCACATGACAGGGTTGCCTGGTGAGCAAGGAGGGTGTGTTGCTTCTCCCCTGCGAGATCAGGGGAGCCCCCAGCTGGGGATCCTGCCCTTGGTATCCCCATGACAGGCATTCCACCAATGCTTTCAGTCCCCACCCTACACAGGACCCCAGCTTGCTACCTGGTACTCAGCACGGGGTGGTGGGGTGGCATCTCCCACCTTGTACAGGAGTACAGGCTTGGAGGGACCCCCAGAATAACCTGTGGAGCCTGCTGGGTGAACGCCAGGCTCCTGGCCGTGAGGGACGCTCTGCCCCACGCAGCGCAGGCAGCACCCAAAGGCAGCCTTCCCCTTCCATTTAAATAGTTCCCAGGCCACTGGCCCCCACCCCACGGTGGAGTGCCTCCGCGCACTCTCACCCACTCTCAAGTGCACGCTGACCCAGCCCGCGGCCTCCCCGCCTCCCCCCACCCCAGCTGCCCTGTGGCCCCAGGCGCACAGTAAGTCTCGGACGCCAGCGCAGCGGGTGAGTAGACATGTTGGGATCCGTGTCAGCCGCGGGGTGGGGGTGCCCAGTCTCCCAGCTCACAGGGGGCCCCCCCAGACCCGCAGGCAGCCAGGTCTCCAGGCCAGCAGCCCCAACCCCAAGCTGAGTGCGGCCAGCAGAGCCACAGCCCCCACCAGCAGGGGCACCACCGTGGCTGCAGGGAGAAAGGAGTGTGAGTCTAAGGCCCTGTCTCCGCCCTCCTCCCACCCCAGCCCCGAGGACGGTCACCTGTTCGGGTGGCAGGCTCCTGGGTGCCATGGCAGGGGATCCCATGAGCTGGAGGACGGGCTGGGGCGGTCAGCTGATGGAAGCGACCCAGCGGGCAGGGGGCAGGGCACCCCGGGAGGCTGAGGGGCAAAGGCAGGCCAGCGGAGTTGTTGCGGTAGAAGAGGGAGACGGTAACATTCCTGTGGAGAGAGGAGTCAGTGGCCCGGCCCTCAGCAGCTGAGTGGAGAAACACCATCCTACTCCCACGTCAACCCGCCCCGCCCCACACCAAGTCCTCCAGACCATGGGCAGGGACCTTTGCTGTCGCCCCATCCCTCCTATTGAGTGCTATTCCCTCCCCCTGTTCCCGGGTGCCACCCCTTCCTGACCCTGCTTCTTCATCCTGGTCTCCAAGGCGCCTCCGGAACTCAAAGCCAAGGCAGGCAGCGTAAGGCGGGGCGTGCCCATCGTAGAGACCCAGGGCCCCCTGAAGGGCCAGCAGGGTGCTGTCGTGCTGCAGGCAGATCCAGGCCTGAGATGGGGCTCCTCCTGGAGCCTCCTCTCTTCTGAACTGCGTATTGTGCATTCAGGTGCTTCCCAAGTGTCGCCCAGACCCCTTAGAACCAATCTCCCCCCAAACCTGCTTACCCTGTTCCCCCAGTTACAGATGATAATTTAATAAAGATTGGTAGAATGGACACAAAATTTGTTCAATTAAACAACCCGTCCTTCCAGAAGATCTAAATGCTTTCTCCCGTACCACCACCTCCCTCTATATCCACATTCTATACCTCTAGTGATATAACCCAAGAGTATGGTTTGGAGGTAAGAGTTAGCCAAGGTATTGGACTGAGGTTCCATCGGAACCCCCAGCTCTTCCTCACCCAAATCGCTACCTCCCACTCCTATGCCATCTGGCACTGCCTCTCAACCCAAAGACTCACAGCTGAGTACATAACCATCTTGAGGGGCAGCCCCAAGCGCTGGACCCGAGAGAAGTTGGCAAGGATGGCATCCAGCAGGATCCCTGGGAGGGCAAGAACAGACTGCTGAGAACCTCCAGGGGAGGTGCCTCAACCTCCTGGCCTCCCACCCTCTCAGCGGGAACCTCACCCCCACTGAGCTGGGCCTTTTCTGCTGCCCGGGGTGGACCCACGTGGGCCCCGATATCCAAAGCCGAGATCTGGGCTAGCGTCTGCAGGACATCCGGGGAGGCCCAGGGTGGGAGGGGAAGCCCGTGGGCTTGCTGGGGAGAGAGGACAAAGACAGGACAACCTGAGTTCCTGAGGCTCCCCTCACACCCTCCCATTGGCTGTGCCGCCCCCTTTAGGTGCGATTCTCTCACCCCTCATCTGGGTCCGGTTCGGGAGAGGAAGTTGTGGTGTGGGTGCAGCAATTTATAATTAGCAAAAATAATGATCAATGTTCCCCAATCCAGAGCATCTGAATGGCGTGGGGCCAGCGATTCAGAATATGGATGTTTGGGACTTTAGGAAACTGTGGTGGGGACACACCCAGTGGGGACTGGGGCAGCATACCCTGAAGCATACACAGTGGGGTGAGCAAGGACTGGAGAGCGCCCTGCCTTTTCAAGTCAGCGCCCTCCTCCCCAGCTCTGGTTTGGGGCGCTTTTCCGATGACCACACATGGATGGCGAGCCACACACATGCAGCCTCAAGGCCCCTGCGTGCCAGCGCCTCGCTGCAGGCCAGGCGCTGTTCCGAGCACATCACGTGGATTAACCCCTTTGATCTTCACAGCACCAGGAGGTGTTGCTATAGGTGTTGTCACTCCACCATACAGTTGGGGAAACTGAGGCACTACGGTGAAGTGACTTGACTGTGAGGAGCGGTAAGCAGCAAAGCTGGGATTTGAATCCAGGTGCCCTTAACCACTTGTCTGGGTGGGTGGGGTGAAGGCCTACCTGGCAAATCAGCGTGTCCAGAACCTTCCACGCCCTGCGGAGCGGCTCCCCCACCAGAGACAGCCCCGTGAAGTTCTCCAGGTTAGTCAGAAAATCCTGGGAGCCAATGGGGTGAATATGGCGGCTCTCAGTGCCCCGCCCCGACCCACTGGCCCCGCCCCACCAGGCCACATAGCCCCGCTCTGACAGCAAGCCTCGCCCTGCCCCTCCACGCCTGCTGCCCCGCCCCCAGGCCCTAGCCCCGCCCTTCCACGCCCCCCAGCCCCTCGCCCCGCCCCCAGATCATCACCCCGCCCCTTCACACCTGCTGCCTCGCCCCGCCCCCAGATCCTCGCCCCGCCCCTCCACGCCCTCTTCCCCGCCCCTTCAGTCTGCTGTCCCGCCCCCAGATCCTTGCCACGCCCCTCCACGCCCACTGCCCCGCCCCAGACCCTCGCCCCGCCCCCAGATCCTCGCCCCGCCCCCCACGCCCGCTGCCACGCCCCCAGGCCCTCGCCCCGCCCACTCACGGTCCAGCCCTCCACGGCCGTCTGGTACTCCACAGCCTCGGTGGCCTCCCGCAGCAGCTCGCGGTATTGGGGACAGCTGCGCGTGGGGAACCTCAGCAGCTGGGGGAAACAGGCTCAGAGAGGACAGCAGAGTGGCTGGGGCCCCCAGCGCGGACGGTGGGGGGCAGTGGGGGTTGTGGGCCATTGTCGTTGGCCCCACGACCTCTCGCACATCTTGCTGCCCAGCCTGGGTGCAGCGGCGCACCCCAGCTGGGCACTCTGCCCCAGGGAAGTCCCCCCCGCACGCGGAGGCACCCGGCCGGGCCCGCAGCCGCCTCTCCCTGCCTGCGTGGGCTGTCCCCGTCTGGAAGCCTCTGTCCAGCCCCTCCCACCCAAGTCGCTGACCTTGTCCTCAGTAACAGGCACGGTGTGCACGGGAATGGGCCTCCAGGTGGACTCGGGGCGCCCCGGAGCAGCCTCGGGGAACAGCCCGGCCAGGTTGGCCTGGGCGCTCTCCAGAGTCCTGTCAAAGTCTGTGCTGCGAACGTACACCTGGGCAGGGCGGGAGACAGCAGACAGGTCCAGTGGGGACCAGCCAGCTGCCACAGCCGACGAAAAGCTTCAAGTTCATTGGCAGGGTGGGTTAAAGGTCATGAAGAGGAGTCAAAGGAGCTGGAAGTCAAAATGCACGGAGGCCAGAGCGGCTGGCTTTTGCGTCTGAGGTCAGGATCAAGGGTCAGAGGTCAATGTCGGGAGCAGCAGAGCTGGTCAGAAGGTGAGTTGACATATTGGATGAAGGTCGGTTCAGTGAGTGAAGATCAGAAAGGAAGAGTAGCTTCCCTGGAGGCTGGAGGTCAGAAGTCAAGATGAGAAGGGCAGGTTGGAGAGCAGGAAGTCAGAATTCAGTACATGAACACTAGGGGTCAGAGGTCAAGTGGAATGATCCTACCTGTGGGATCAGAACACAGAGGAGACAGGAAAGTCAGGATTGATGAAAGGTAGAGGTCAAAGGTTGGGTGTCAAGAGGACATCCAACAAGGGTCAAAGACAGATTGGATCAAGTTTGAGGGTCAGAGGTCAGAGAATGCCATGTTGGAGTGGATGGAAGTCAGAGGTACAAGCCAGAAAATAAAATCAGAGTTGGCAGGGATCAAAGGTCAAGCTGAGAGACAGGTTGGAATGAGGTCAGAGGTCAGGGTCAGTCGGTGCACGGTCCCCAGGGCAGAGATGGGATGTTGGGTACAGGTCAGATGGAGAGAGGGAGCTCAAAGGCCAGAGGCAGAGACTGGGGGAGCATGGAGTCCATGAAGGTCAGAGGTGGGAGTTTGGCAGTCCTGATGGAGGTCAAGGTGGCAGTCAGTACCTCCTCCCTCCGGTACTCAGGACTCAGAAAGGCCTCGTAGCGGCTCCTCAGGAAACGGCCCAGCTCCAGCTGCTGGCGGACCCCCTCCTGGGGACAGAGCAGGCCTCAGCAGACCCGTCCTCACCCTGTGCCCCGTCACCCTCCCTCCACCCCCCACACCCCACCCCCCGCTCCTCACCCCAGTCAGCTGGCCCAGGCCACGCGGCCACAGGGTGGAGATGGCCACCTTGTGAGGGTCGGTGGGGTAGGAGGCCAGAGGAGCCCGGTCGCCATGGCGGAACACCTGGGGACAGGACCTGTTAGGGCTGGCCCGAGGGCTGAGGGGCCAGGCCAGGGTAGGGGGCACCTCACCACAGCCACAAACACCAGGGGTCCCTCCGTCAGAGCCTGGGGCAGCAGCAGCAACAGCAACAGCAGGAACAGTGCAATGGGGTGGCCCCGAAACCCTGGCCCGGCCATTTCACACAGCCCGGATTCTGAGCTCAGCCTCTGTCTGTGCCGCAGCCCCACCTGCTCATTACCTGCCCAGCAGCCCCCAGGAGAGCAGGCCCCAGCTTGCCCCGCCTGCAGCCCAGGGCAACTCCTAGGTTCCAGCTCCCCCAGTGCCTTTGCCAACCTTGGATTAACCCGTTTCAACTTTACCCCTTTGGGAAGGGTTTGATACAGTGATCATGCTCCCCATTGTGTGGATGGGGAAACTGAGGCACAGAAGGGCTAAGGGACATGCCTGAGGGAACACAGCTAGTGAGTGGCAAATTTTACCCTATATGCCTTTAACCTGGGCGTAGAGGCAAGGAGAGAGAACCCACACCACAGGAGTCAACCCCTAAAATAACTGTTCTTCATTTTTTGTTGTTTTTAAAGATTTATTTTATTTATTTATGCATATAAGAACTGGGGAATAGGCCAGAACTGCAAGTGGGGTGAGCGGATTCCCCAGAGACAGAGTGGGGAGCAAAACAGGCAGATCTACCAAAATCCACTGCTGAGGGGAGCAGCGGGGAGACAGGAGAGGTCTGCTGTACCGTGTGAGTCAGCTCCCTGGCCAGGGATCAAACTCATGCTGCAGTGGCTGCAGACCGCTTCATAAGTTAAGGGCAAGGACTCACCAGCTGGGTCACCCCAGTTGCCCCCGGGTTTTTTTCACTGTCACCCCACACCTGGCAATTGGGCTCTGGAATGTCCAGCCACCTCAGGTCAGCTCTGTGCCGGGGCTACCTCACCTGCTCTCCCTGCCCATAGCCCCCTCCTGCTCTGACAAATTCCTGGCACCCAGAGCTGACCCGTCCTGTCCTGCTCACAGTCCTCCTGTGGCTCCCAGCACCCTCGGGAGAGAGAAACAAATGCCTCTGTGTGGTGTGGGAGAGCTGGACTCTGTTCTCAAATGTCCCCATCCCAAATTCAGATCCTACAGGGACATTCCGCCCCAAACCTCTCTCTCCCCCAAGCCTCTGCCCCCAAGTTCTCTCTACCCAGAATGCCCTTCTCTCATCACCACGGCCACCATTCTGGTCTCCCGGACAGCCTTCGCTCAGGTTCCAGTGGCTGATCTGCCCGCTCAGGCTCAGAGGCCCAGGACCAGCAGGAAGGGCAGGCACGCCAGCAGCTGGAGTCATGGCTATGAACTTTCAGGAAGTGAGGAGGGGGCCCAGGGGAAGGAGAATGGAGGGGTGGAGGGGGAGGGAGGGTCCTGACCTCTGACTCCACCCCCTAGAACGTGACCCTGGCCATGGCGGTCTTCACCATCCTGGCCTCCATCTATTTCTTCAACAAGGTGAGTGGGAGGAGGGCAGGGGTGGAGGGCTGGGTCTCTGTTGCTTGGTTCCTGTTTTATTATCTTGGTTTCTCTTTCTTTCTTTCCTTTTAATATTTATTTGTAGAAGAACTGGGGTGCAGGCCAGAGGTGTGGGGGTGAGAGGGATCACCAGAGACAGAGTGGGGAACAGAACAGGCAGACTGACTGAAATCCACTGCTGAGGGGAGCAGCGGGGAGACAGGAGAGGTCTGCTGCGCCCTGTGGGTAGCTCCCTGGCCGGGAATCGAAGTCAGGCCTCAGTGGTGATAGTGCTGAGACTTAACCCCTAGGCCACCAGGGAAGCCTTTGGTTTCTTCTTCTCACCTGTGTCTCGGTGTCCCTCTTCTCTCTCCTTAGGCTCAGCAATGAGAAGAGACAAGGCCCCTGATCCAGAGCCCAGCCTCTGCCCTATACCATGACTCTGGCCTCTGAGGCCAAATAAATGTGACCATATCAGCACATTCTGCTCCATCCTTGCATCCTGGCTGCCACACAGTGTCTGCTGAGCCTGGGGGAGGGCAGGCCAAAGGCCTAGACCCCCAAGTCTGAAGGAGGGGGGGGCCAGGATCCAGGGTCTGAGGGAGGGGCCAGGGCCTGAGCTGGATTTTGAGGAATGAGTAGGAGTCTGTCAGCAACATTTAGAGAAGTGTTAGAACATTCCAACCTTGGGTACAGGAGCAGGGAGGGGAGAAAGATGGAGCGATTCCCCACCCGGTGCCAGCAGAGTGGTCTGCACTGCGCCCGTTTGTTCTCTCTGGGCCAGGGTTTCCTTCTCAGTGACAAAGTCTTTGTCCTTTGGGGCCCAGAAAACCAAAGACCAAAGAGGTGAAGGGAACATATAAGCTGCAAGGGTCCTCATGGTTATATTGTATCAACACATTGTTTGAGTGTAGCTTCCTCTTAGCAAACTCCTATTCAACCTTAAATAATTTTGCAACCATGACAGGCCCAGTTGGTCACCGTCAGCTCAGACCCCTTAAAAGAGAAACTTGGTGCCCATGGCATCATCCCCACAGGGGCAAACGGGCCAGCAGAGAGACAGCAACTCAAGGCCCCTGCGAATCTCTGTACGCGCTCGCCTCTGGGCTTCCTCCCCCACCCTTGCCCTCCCCTTGCGGCCCAGCCCTCGGAGCCCTGGTGATAGCCACGGAGACTAGTGGTGCGAACAACTGAGCATTTCCCTTGCCCCACACAGGTCCACTGTCAGTGCCCCTCCCCATAGAAATGTCCAGACTGGGGGCCTCCCTGGGGGCGCAGGGCGTTGAGCCCAGCGCTGTGAAGCTGTCCACAGCCTCTGCAGTGCGTGTTTGATCCCAGCCGGCCAGGGGGATACCCACATGGCACAGCAGGCCTCTCCCGTTTTGCCTGCCGCACCCCTCAGCAGTGTATTTCAGTCAGTCTGCCTGTTCTGTTCCCCGCTCTGTCTGTGGCAAGTCCTCTCACCCTCCTGCACATCTGGCCTGTACCCCGGTTCCTGTGTAAATAAATAAATCTTTAAAAAAAAAAAAGAAAGAAAGAAAGAAATGTCCAGACCGCCAGACAGGTGGCAGCTCTGCCTACGTCTGCTCCTCCCCATCCTGCCTCCACACCCAGCAGGTGGAATGCCCAGGGCGACACTCCAGCCTCTGGGCGGGCTTCATCCACTTTCCCATGTGCTAGAAAAACAATTTCATTTCAACCCAAGATCTGAAAAGGCAACTTAGGAATAGGCTGAACGAACATCCTGGGCTTCCCGGGAGAGGCCTAGCAAGTCCCACCTGGCACGGTTTAGTCTCACTATGATTCCAGCTCTCGGATTAGGAACACTCGAGGCCCCTCGCTGCAGCATAACTGGTAAGGGCGTCCTCTCGCAGCAAAGCCTGCTGTCTGCAGGGCGGTCTTGCTCACAGGAGGCCTTGCTGCAAATCTCGGGGCGACCACACGATGGCGGGGCTGGACTATATTCCTGGAGGGAAAGAGGTTTCTGCAAAACCAGAATCTCAGACCGAGGGGTGAAGTGGAAGGAGTCCTTGCTGCTGCCACTAACACCCCCCCTCCACACACACACATTTCAGGGCTTACCTCTGCCTGGATGTTGGCCCCAGCTCGGCATCTGTCTCCACCCGCCCTCACAGGGGTCTTTCCACACAGCAGAGCCGACCCCGCTCGCGGGGTCCTGGGGAGCCCCCCAGCCCACTGCGAAGAGAGTGGCTTGGCCTCCGAGGCTGTGTGTGACCTGATCCCGTCCCGTCTCCCCCTCCCCCGAATCCCACCCACCTCCCCCACCCCCTGCACGTTGTATCCTTTCCCAGCACATACAGCAGGACTCAGAATTTTTTTTTTCGTGCCCAGCCACAGGGCCTTTGCACCTGCTGTGCTCGCGGCCTGGAGCGCCCCTTTCCACCTCTTCTCTCGCACCATCTGCCCTGGATGCTTTCCTGGAGATCTTCCCAGTCAGACACCCGTTCCCTGCTACTCCCCCCTCCGACCCCCCCCCCCCCGCCCCACCTCTGTTGCCGCGATTGGGAGTTCGAGGACGCCCAGGAAAGTATCGGACCCTGCGGTTTCCTGCGTGGCCTCGGCTGTGGAAACCTGTTAAACAAACACCCACAGCGACGTGGGGCTTTCGTTCTCCGGGCGGCTCCCCCCCCCCCCCCCCCCCCCGTCCGCGGCCGCCTGGGCGGGGGCTTCCCGGGCCTGCGGGCGGCACGCGGGCCGGAGGGGCCCGGCGGCTCCGGGGCGCTCTGGGGAGCGTGGGGGCGTCCGGAGCCCGCCCCTCCGCGGACCACCTGAACCGCCTCGCCTGGGGCCGCTCCGCGCCACCGACCGGGTTGGAAACGCTCCCAGGGCGACGGGACCGCGCGGGGGGCCGGAGGCTCCGCGGCGATGAAACGCGTTTTCCGCAGAGACGTTCCCGCCCGCAGCTGAGCGCGGCCCGAGGCGGCTCCGCGGGGCGGCGGCTGACTCGGACGTGCCGCAGAGCGAAGCTCTTTGGCAAACGCTGGGGAGTTTGGCGGTGGCCGCGGTCTAGCTCCCGCGGGGGGCGGGGCGCGCGGGGGGCGGGGGGGGGGGGGGGGCCGGGGGCGCGCGGGGGGCCAGGGCACTCCCCGGGCCTGCGCCCCGGGAGCCCCATCTTGGCTCGGTCCCGCGAGGGAGGCCCCGGATGGCGGGTCGCCCCAGCTCCAGTGCAGCCAGTGACCCCGCGGGGGGGGGGGGTGGCTGCCCCACGAATGTCAGGCCGTCACCCCCTCTTTCTCCGCGCTTGGGGCATGTCAGCTGTTTCCATCTCTCACGGCAGCCCCTGTCCCTGTCTCTCACCGGCTTTGTCCCTGGGACTTTCCGCCCCTCTCCCGCTTGGTCTCGCACCCCCTCACCCACTCTGACATTCCATCAGCCCCCCCTTTGCCCAAGGCTCCCCCCTGGGCATCTGCCCCCCTTCCTGGGTCCCGTTCCTCAGTCTCCTCATCCGTTTCCTCCCTTCTCTGCCTCCCCACTCGGCTATATCTGTGTCTCACCTTCTCTAGGGGTGGGGAAGAGGGGAGACCCTGCCCTCTCCCAGACCCCCAGGAATTTCCCTTCAGATCCTGCTGGACGACTGGGCCCCATGCCCAGTGCCCCACCCTGCCCTGATCCGTGCCACCGCCTGGGCAGGAGCAGAGTGCCCAGGCCAGCCGCCTGAAGGCCTGGCCCCCACACAAGTAGAAAAGAGGGTTAAGGCAGCCATTGGCCACCAGCAGGGCAAGCCCTGGGGATTGGAGAAGCACCTAGATGCCCGCCATGTCCAGCCCAAACCCCCCACCCCTGTGTCCCCAGCAGCCTCAGCAGGAGCAGCAGGTAGAGGGGAACCAGCAGAGAAACAGAGAGGCCCGGGTGGCCCCGGCACCCCCAGCAGTGGGGCCCTCCCCGTGAGCCCTGCCCGCTGCAGCTCAGCCCTCAGGAGGCTGTGAAAAGTGCTCAGCACCCCCAGCAGCACCCCAAAGCCAAACACAAGCTGCTTCAGGGCCAGACTGGCCCAGCGCTGGGCCAGGTCCCTCACTGGTGTCCAGTTATAAGGGGCGGCCAGATCCTGGGTCCCTGGGGTTCGAAGACTGGCACACCCAGGAGCAGCAGGAGGAACCAGAAAACCCCGGCCCAGAAAGGCCACTCGGTGCTTTCATGCCCAGCCCGGCACAGCGGTCAGCAGCTATGCGGGTCAGCAGGCGGCCACTGGCATAGAAGGTCAGGAAGGCGAGGCCGGGGTCCAGGATGGGGTAGGAGCTGCCCAGGGGCCAGCCAGAGCGCGTCCAGGTGACGGTCAGCGGCAGGAGCACAGTGAGGGCGATGTTGGCTTCAGCATGCTGCCTGAACCAGGCAGCGAACAGGGGCGGAGGGAGGAGCGGCCCCGGCGCTTGGATGAGCAGGCCCCGGCTGGCAGCCTCCGGGAGATAGGAGGCCGGGGAGGTCAGAGAGTACGGGAGGAAGAGGGCGGCCTCCGGGGGGCTCTGGGCTGCAGCCAGGTAGGTCTGCGAAGGGTTCTCCAAGGCCTGGGTGGTGCTGTGGGCACCCATGGGCTCTCTATTAACTTGTCCCTAGAGTCCCCCCAATCCTCCCTCAGGTCTCCCACCTCAGGGACTTCCTCACTGACCTCTTCCCAGTCCATGCTCTCGCTTCTCAGTCTCCACTGACTGTTGTCTGTCTCAGCCCCATGTCCTCTGCCTCCCTCCCCCCAGCTCTGGCCTCCACCAGCCTCTTCTCGGCCTCCCGGCCTCCAGTACCTCCTCCAACCTGTCCCTGTCCCTCTTGCAGAACAGACCTGCCGTGGGGGTCTAGGTGCTTCTCCGACCACCAGGGCTCGCCCTGCTG